GATACCTACATAGTTTGTTTTCACTAGGTAACTTCATTTTGTCACGGTATTTAAAAAATTCGTCTAAGCTCATTTAAACAGTTTCCCTCGCCCTTGAAGTACGTTCCAACAAATTCAGCTTCTTCGAAAAATTATAAAATTGGATTTTGCGAAATTTTATTTATTTTATGATAACCCCTATCCCTATATGTTAAAAAATATATAGATAATAATTGTAATTGCCAGATTTAATGCGAAGCACATTAATTTTAAATACAACATATATTTTTCAAATAAATAAGAAAATTACCTCCTTTTTCTCCTTTGTCCAAAATAGCAATCAGTTATTCTGTCGAAAAAACTCATATCCTGACCAAACTAGAACATTATTTTCACGTATAAATATACAAAAATATGCAGCAACTAATAATGTTGTCCTAATAATCACCAGTATAAAACTAAAACCATTAATTTGGATCTTCTATAAAAATTTATTGTTTCTGAAATCAATCAATTTTGAGATACAGAATATCTAAATTAACTGCCTTACTTTTATGATAGTGATGTAATACATCATTCATTATTTCTAAAATCTGATACTGTTTTACAACAATAATAAAACGAAAAAAAAAACATTAAAAAACAATATCTGTTACATCCTTATCGGTTTAAAGTTGATGTATGTGCAAGTGCGCAAATTTTTAAGATTTACAGCCAGTAAAGATTTAATTTGATTGATGTGATGGTCATATTTCTAACTTTTAAAATTTGCAAAACAAGGAAGAATTTCTTTTCTACATAAATACAATCCTATATCGTCCGGTGGAGATCCGGAAGGAATAATTAAACATAAAAAGCAATAGGTCTTCCAGTAAGGCTGATCCTAAGCTCTTATTGTCTGATATAAAGAAGAAAAGTTTTAAGTAAGAAATGTTATACAAAAAAAAAAACTAAGACTCCGAAGAAAAAAATCTTTAACATTCATCGCAATAGAAACCAATATTACGCAGTATTCAAGGACTTAATCATCCTTAATTTCGCTAAATAGAATTCAAGTATTCTAAACGCAATTTATGTGGAACACTCAGTCAATAGGAGTTTTAAATAAGTCGATTAATTTTCATTAACGTAACATTCGAATGAGCGTTACTACTTCCCGTCCTCATTATTACATACACAATTCGATTGTGAACTTTATGCCACTACCTCGACCTACATTTAACAGAGAATATTTTTTCAGTTCATCTTGTGAGTTTTCACAGGAGATTTTTGATGTCGGTGATCTAATCACTGATCAATCATATAACTACGTCATTAACACGTATTCATGTCCTTGTTTGGATTTTGATAATATTTCATCAAAAAAGTGCAAGTTATAAATGTACCTATACCTACTCATGGGCAAAAATATGAAATTTTTGAAATTGTCATAATTTTGTTCAATATGAAGATTTTACTTTAAAGCTGGGATAATCTAGTATTTTAATTTAAATCTCATCGAGGTAATAATACACAAACTCAGCAGCATAGGGACGTGCATTATCGCGCATTAACACAAATCTAAATATTCCATACTTTTGTCCATGGGTGTACCTAGAGAAAAGTGGCGGAAAATTATTTCAATTCATTTTTAATTAAAATCTTTGTTGGCTTCTTCAAAATCCTTGTCACTTATTGACGACAGCTTAATCTGATAACAGAGTTACGTAAAATAAGCACTTCTATCAAATTAAAAATCAAGAGAATCTCAAACGGCAAACAGACAGACAGACGGAAACGGGAGACCCATGTTCTTGTACTCGGGAAGTAAAAAATTAAAAATGACAACTGTTACAATTTAGAATATAAGTAAAACTAAACTAACCGAAGCGACTTCGATTTATAAATACACATCAAGCCTCGTAAATCACCCGCTTAGTATTTTTATTCGTCCCACGCGTCGATGTGAAATTAGTTTGTAAAACACAACCTGACAATAGTGGCTTGAAATCAACTTAAATTAACGAAAAGTGAGTAAAAATAGCGTATCTATCGCAATTTATTTAATCAACTACATAATATGTTTAAACTTAGTTTTATTCTTTTATAAGATAATACTTCAATAATTTGAAGTCTCATGGGTAATAATAATAGTTATATACAGATTCTACTTTAGTGGGCTAATTCAAAGCTTTATTTAATACATGGTGAATCCTATTAGTTACAGAACTATATCTCTGTTACCCCTTTCCCCAAAAGCACTAGAAAAGCTTTTCTATCAACAACCGCAGCAGTTTTTTAGTCCAATAATCTGTTGACATCCAGTCAGTTTGGTTTTAGAAATGATTACTATTAATTGTTGGCTCGATAAAAAAGATTTCGGAATTTTAACTTTCTTAGATTTATCAAAGGCGTCTGATTTTCTGTTACACACTACTGATAGAAAAGCTATACATATACAATTTTGTTCCATCAGACTGATGACGAATAACATTTTTCCTTACGAACCGCAGTCGATAAGTTTGTGTGGGACACGCTAAACCAACAAGTTTACTTATCAAACTACATGGTTCAGTATTGAGTCCTCCACAGTTTTAAATTTGTATGAATGACTTTACAAATTTTAGATAATCTCCCTCAATACTGTTTGCAAATGGCACCACGCTGCTGAATTCAGGATCAATTTTAGAAACAGATTATAAAAAGAGTGAGGAATCTAAACAATCAAAATATTAACAACATCGAAGATGCCGAATTTGTAGATACTTAGTACTAAATTCCTTACTTGGTTTACAAGTCGACGCTGCTCTTACAGGGAACATCCACGCAGATGAAGTACCTAAAAACACCCTTGGGAGTAAAAAATTATAATCCTCCAACTGATGAGCCAAAAGTTCGAAAATTATTCATTTTCTTTATTAATATGTAGCACGAGTATGTTAAAATAATTGATTTATTCTAGTTTCCTAAACTGTTTAATGCCCCTACTCTCATGGATATCTTTTTCTCTTTCCTCATTCATATTTTTCAAAACTTCACACTTTTAAGAAAATCACTGTTTATGAGCTGTTATTGTTATTACAATTTTTTTTGTCATTTTTTTTTTAAGGCAATAAACAAGCGTCGCTATAAAACCTTAGTTTTTCATGAGTAAAATAATAACGACCAAAGTAAGTAATTCCGAATTAGATTTAGAATAAATGGGTCGGTGTTGGAAAAAATAATATAAGTAACGAGGGATTAAACTGATTTCTGTTTTCTCAAGAATTTTAAAGTTCTCGGTAAGCCTTAAGCTTTAAATTATTCTCCCAAGAACAAAACAACATTTTTAGTCCCTTGTTAGTACCTACTATTATGTTCTACATTTGTACTTACATTAATTTGAAGTGTATAAAAAAACTCGTTTTATTAACACCAATAAATGGTTGTTATTATTATTTTAACATACTGCTGTTCGTAAAACGAAAAACAATTGTCTAAAACGTTTTGTAACTAAAAGCACTTCTTCTGCTTGCAATATTTAGTAAACTAGTAACTGTACTGGTATTACATATATATTAGATATTTGTTCACAAAAAGCTTAGTCTGAAAATGACAACCCACAAAATGTCTTTATTTAACAGACTTATCAGTTTTACGACTACTGCTTACCAAACAAAATTTATTTAAATTACTGTTCAAAAAGTTTTTTAGTCCTTCAGTTCTCTCACATCAATGTTTTGCTCCCTCAGGTGATTGAAGTGTGTAGAGTTATAAACGAATAACAACAAATATATACCTTAAAACTGCACAGAAACTGCATTTTTAATAAACTCTACAGTAACAATTGATACATTTGATAATTTATTTATTAATTAGGACGAAATACAAGGTGTCCCTAGACAGACTTCCTTCTAAGATGAAAGATTTGACTCTTGTGATTCTTTTACTGAATGTGTCAAGCTACACTATGCTAAGTAAGTATATCTAAAAACGAAACACGATTCAAGTATTCACACAATAAACTAAGCGAACGGAGTTGTTTTAGCGAGCACAGCGAGCTGTATTAAAGTACTATTGAAAGCGAGTTTCTGAGATGTTAGGAAGACATGAATCAATTCCTGAAATACTTTAATAAAAATGAAGCAATTTACGTTACTCCACTTATAAGGTCATAAACGTAAAGCAAATGACAGAAGACAGGAAATTTTTAGTGTGTTTTCAAAAAAGTAAATGAAGTTTAAGTATAGGTAAGTACTTTTTTTCTCAAAATTTTTCTTTTGCAACTACGTTGTTTTTTAAAAATAGTTCAATCAGTCACTCAACAGATGGTGAGAGGTATTAAAAAAAGTTGAGATTAATCATAGCTAAAAAGTAATCTAACTAAATGTAGTATTAATTCATTTGACAACAATAAATGTACAAGAAGTGTTTCATCCAAGAAGGATTTAAGCTTTTGCCCAAAAAATCTAATTAACAATATGACTTCGTTGAAGTTCGTACTACGGAAACAACGAATTATTATTATCCAGCACCCTTAATGCTATTTTTCATTGTTATAGTAAAGTAATAAATACTTTTTAAAATTATAATAACTGAAAAATGCAATATGACCATAATACATTTTTCTCATGAAAACCTCAAAACCACATGTTGAAACGCAGAATTATTTCAAAGTAAATGAATTATCTGTAGATCGTAATTTTAATCGATTATGTAATAAATATTACGTTGAAAAAATAGAGACATGATACGTACCTTAGGCAGATAGCTATAGTCCTTGAAGCTGAAAGTTACACCTATTTACACAAAATTATGTTGGAAAAATCCATGTTTTTTTTAAAAGATGAAACCAAATCTCGCACTGATTTTGAAATAGTAAACATCCCGAATTGCCAAGGTTTAAGAAAATGATGAAATTCCTATTTATACAACCTTGATGGAAATTTAAAGGCGCACTTATAAGAAATAGTAAAAAAAAAATGGAAAATTTAAATCATAAAAACTGGCCACGCCATAAAGTTAATTAGCACATACCTATAATATACATACAAAAAACAAAATCAAGTTTAAAGCTTTATTAAATAATAAAGAATTATTTAAGACATATTTTCTTCTTTAAACTGCAAGATCGTAACATCTTTTTGAACATTATCCCCAGCTTTAAAGAATATATTTTCGACAGTAGCGTCTCTTGTAGCCTTAACCACATACTCCATCTTCATCGCAATTAAAACAAACAGAGAATCTCCTTTTTTCACACTGTCACCGACGTTGACTAAAATTTTGTCCAGAACTCCGGGCATTGGAGCGAAAGCTTTATTACCTCCAGAAACAGAATCATCAACTTCTTCCGTCAAAAAAGACGCCTTTTCTAATTCTAACTCAACTTTTCCACTCTAAAATGCAAATACTTGTACAAACTATATAGATATGAAAAATGAAAGTTTTACATTGTCAAAAATGGCAATAACGTTATCGTCGCTGAAAATGTTTACACGATTCTTAATGCCATCGATAGTGCAGTGCAGCGTCACTGTTTCATCTTCCCTACTAAGTTGTCCATTAACTATCTTCCACGATTTTCCTCCATTTAATGAAACATGAAAGACATTTTGATCAACAAATTTTACTCTCACGAGTTTCTCTAAAACGCAAAAATCATCAAATAATGACCTCTCACGTATCTCCAACAAACCTTCGTTTTTAAACTCAAGTTTAATATCACGGTTAAATTGGTGATTAATTCTGAAACCAGATTCCACAATGAATGGGTTAAATTGGTCTTTTCTATTCACTGCATTTCGTATGTCGGTTACCTCATCTTGTAAAATTACACCCAGAGCTGCTTGAATTAACTGCGTTTCACTTGCAGTTTTTGTTTTAAAAAGGCTGTCGTTGTTTTCTTTGATAAAATTCGTGTGCACATTTCCGGATATAAATTCCGGATGTCTTGCAAGGTCTAATAGAAAATTAACGTTTGTTTGTAAACCTGTGACCTACGCCAGAAAACAGAATTTATTAAAATGCGGAAAGGGATATGCACAAATTATAAATAAAACTAGGTAATACTAATAACATAAATAACTACTTAAAATCGCGATAATTTAATTGATCAGACACAATTAAAAAAATTGATCTAAATTTATTTAAAAAGAACTTCTCGCCAAAAAAAGCGTTTAAGCTATTACACAACACACTTTACAGAAAGAAAAACATTATTTATGCTAATCAGTCAATTCTTCGCTGGATACGCCCCCACTGCCTTTGATTCGGACGCATATGTTACCAAAACACACTCTGTTAAAATAATAAAACCATGGGCTGTACCGTTCTTGATTTGATTAATAAAATAGAGTTAATAACAGTAACAATGTAAGAAAAAAATAACTCATGAGACAATCGAATGGGCGAGAGCTGGCGAATAAACTTGTTACTAGGTATTTGCTATACAATTTCGATATTTTGCGAGGAAAAGCTCAGGCGGATTCATAACCTACAAGCACAGGAGTATGTCACTTTATAAAATTTAAATCACGACTACAAAATAATTTTGAGTGGACGTCATCAAATTTTTGGTGGTTATGACCAGACAAATTTTATTTAATGTTTTACTATCTACACTATATTCCTAACATACATATGAAATTTTTTAAAACCTACTTTTTCATACTCTAGGGGCCATGAAACGGGAAGTAAAAATGTAAATAACAACATTTTATTTTTATGTTTCAGTATAATAATAACTTTGCAGTTGAAGCAACCTTCTTTTTTTTATCATTTTGAATATGGTTTTGGGTGCTGTTTTTTTGAAAATTCAAACTAAATACTCCAAGGCTCTGAACGAAGAATGAAATTCTTGAAGTATTCTGAATTAATACTAATAAAACGGTTGATTAAAACTTAGGACAATATATATTCAAGACATGTGTATTTTATTTATTTTATGTGTTATTTTCAGTCTAAAAATGATCCAGTTGTCAGGTCTTAATGATACTACAACGGTTGTTAACCATAATTTTTTTTCTCTAAACTTAAAAAAAATGCACTCGTTTCTTTTCAAAATTTTACATAGGTAAATACTTGCAAGTTTATTACTTGCAATTTTATTACTTACAACATAAAAAATCCGACAAAATATAAATACAGCTGATAACAAACAAAATTAAAGATACTGAAACATCAATAAAATATAATATAGCGACTCAGTGAACACTCCACTATTTATAAACAAAAAAAAAACAGTATTAGCATGAAGACAGAGTTAAATAAAACAAGATTGCATGTGTTTTTTATTAAAATTAAGTAGTTAATGGAAAATTTTAAGTGTCTGTTTCATAAGAATGTAAATAATTTTTAGTATCGTTTTCCTCTTATAATACAGTTATAATAACACCTACTAGTATTTTAAAACATCTCAGTTCTGTTTCTCTTGAACAAAATTTGGTTAGGCGAACTGCGTGACATTTGATTTGATAAGGTGACATTTAACATAAATTTTAAAGTCGTTCTACATATAAAAGCTGCAGTGAACCTCTAATCATTGCGTCTATAAGAACTTATATTCTACCTGAATTAAGTATGCTAAATCAAAACTGGAGAAGACTTTTCAGATCTTTTTTCTTTTTGAAAAATGTAAAAAACACAAATTTTTCGATCACCGAAAAAAGTAGTTTTGTGAAATTCTGATTATTAATATAACCGCAAAATAGCAAAAAGGTTTTTTTTAGTACAAATAGTACATAGTATAATAATATTAATTATTCTAAAAGTAAAAATAAATGTTAAAATAAAAATTGTGCACTGCTGGAAAACTTATAAGTACCTATCATAAATTTTATCAAATTAGTAATAATATTACCTTGAAAATGATTTACTAAAATCGTTTTCAAAAAAAGTTTTATAGGTACTCATGATTACATTAAACTTGCTAATGGGTATTTTGGTATCTATTGACGTAAAAGTATGGAAACTGTAGCCGTAGCCTTTATGAATTTGAATATTTAAAACGATTACTGACCAGCCGATGAAGTCATCCAAGTGTTACCTAAGTTCTAGATCCAGGCAGCTGCGGTAATATATTTGTCTTTTCAACTGATATTTAAAAAAAAAAGAAAAATAATAACATACATTATACTCCGTCAAAAGTGTCTGCATTTTCAAAAGCGCCTCTGCTCGATTTTCTCCCCAAACTACCAACTTAGCAATCATTGGATCGTAATGAACGGATACTTCGTCTCCCTCACGGACACCTATAATTTTTTAATGATTATTATTATATTACAGATAGCATAAACATAATTACCGGTTTCGATTCTGATATCATCTCTTACCGGGGGACTACGCAAATAAGATAATACGCCCGCTCCTGGTAAAAATCCCCCACTGGGATCTTCAGCATAAATACGAGCTTCGAAAGAATGACCTCGTAAACTTATTTGGTCTTGATTTAAAGGCAATTTTTCGCCACGAGCAGCTTTTATTTGCCACTCCACCAAGTCAGTGCCTGAAATTAAAACAAAGTATAAAAAAAATGCACAAACATACTTTAACTTAAGTATAATACTGAATTTATTTTTTTTTATGATATGTAGATAATTTTTTTTATTATTATATTACTAATTAAATAAAAACATATCAAGCACAAAACCTAAGTGCTTAATATATTTAAAATATACAAAAGTAAAATAACAAGCCAGCGTAGGTACCTCGTAAAGAACAGTACAGTTCTAGTAGAATTTGACCACGTCAAGGTCAGCAAGAAAGTTATTTGCTTATAGTTTTTTGCTTACTGGGTTTTAAAAATGAAATTTATCAAACAAATAACACTGAAAGGTCATGTCCGAAAAGACAAGAGCTAATTTGACAACTCTGTATTGATTTAAGAGAACCGATAAACATTGCAAACACATTCTTAACGTTATGTATTTAAACTTAGTTAATTGAATTTACATTATTTCTTCTTAAACAAAGAAGACCGCAAAAGTCCTTTAAAAAATTCCATCGAACATTGTATTAGAAATTTATTGTCCATAAAGTTTACACAAATATTAAAAAACAATCACGCATGTGCATTTATTATTGTTGTTGACTTTGAAAATTATACCAGGTGGAAATTCCAAGTCTGCAAAACATCGGAATCTCGTGTAATAACAACCTTTTATTAATCAGAAACCTCTTTCCGTATAACAGAATAATGCAGTTATTATAAAAATATATGAACAACATAACTACATCGAGCATCAACTTAGCACGCAACAATTAATTCTATGGAAAATTATTATTTTCAAATGACGTATACAACTAATTAATCACCTGTAATCATTTCCGTTATAGGATGTTCTACCTGCAACCTCGTGTTCATTTCCATGAAATGAAAACTGTGACTCTTCTTATCCAAAATAAACTCAACAGTTCCAGCTCCCACGTATCCAACAGCTTTAGCTGCCCTTACAGCCGCAGCACCCAGTTCAGATCTCAGTTCCTCAGATAGTCCTGGCTAAAACAATAATTTAATTTTGCACAAATACACATCCTAACTTATACCGCCGGAGCCTCTTCAATAATTTTTTGATGTCTCCTTTGCACCGAACAGTCCCGTTCAAACAAATGAACGGCATTCCCATGCAAATCTGCAAAAACTTGAACTTCAACATGCCTTGGTTCAGCCACAAACTTCTCCAAAAGAACTACTGAATCTCCAAATGCTTTTTGAGCTTCACTTTTAGCAGATTCTAGAGCTTCTTCGAATTCAGATTCGGTGTTAGCTATTCTCATTCCTTTACCACCACCACCTCTTACAGCTTTGATCATTATCGGATATCCAATTTTCTGAGCCTCTTGTTTCAATTTTGCTTTGCTTTGGTCTTCGCCGTGATAACCCTCTATTATAGGGACTCCCGCTTTTGACATAATTTCTTTTGATTTGCTTAGATGTAAAAGATTAGTTATTTTTTTCTAAGTGCTAAAATTTTCAAAATACCTTTTAATTCCCATATCTTGTATTGCTGATGCTGGAGGTCCGATAAAGATAATGTTGTTTTTCTCACAATTTTCTGCAAATTCAACATTTTCGGAAAGAAAACCATAGCCGGGATGAATGGCTTGACAACCTGCTTTATGTGCTACTTCTAGAAGTTTATCTCCACGTAAATAGCTTTGACTTGCTGGTGGAGGGCCTATGTTGTATGCTTCATCGGCCTAATTTAAATGTGTATTGTACAACTATGATACTGTAGTATTCATTTTTCAAAGTTGAAAGTGGAAGTTATAGCTTATATGAGTAAGAAATGAAGAGTCCAGATCATCCAGACTGCAACTTGGTGTTTTCAGGGAATTTTGATTGATGACACCGTGTTATGAACATTGAAGTAAAATTGAAAAATAATATTTTACAACGCTCAGTTGTAGATAAAAAAATATATTTCAAAAATCATGTCCAGAACTCATTTATACGAACATTCTTAGACCAAACGTAAAATTAAACAGTAATCAAATCAATTTTTTTGTTTTTGTTACCATTCCATATGTGCAAAGCATGTTGTTAAAATAGTTAATACAGTTTTATTGCAGAAATTATAAATACATATGTACACTCATAATTATATACAGACCCTCCGTACTAGACAGAATTGCAACACGAATTGTCTTATTATTGTTAAAACTCCAGGTCTTTCCATTATTTGAAACATTATCACCGCCCTGGGTGGCGTCATATTTGTTTAATGAAATCTCACACAACACTGCCTCCTTCAATATCATCCTTACGATTACAAACAATGAATGTACCACGAAATTTTGTGAAAACATCTTCTTGGTCTCACCCTCGACCTCTGACTGCTTCGATACCATATTCTTCTTAAGCCACTAACCAATAATCCTAATCCTTATCTTTCTGTCTTGCCGAAATTCCAGCTTTCTAACCCGCCGGTAATGTTTATCTACTTTCACCCTCATTCTGTCGCTTTTAATATGATGCATCTTCTTCTTGGGTCACTTCCTTAAACCTTAAAGCAAGTAGGCACCTCGTCCCAATAACTACTGTCAACACCATTTCTTCGTTTTCATTTGTGGACCTCTTTTCCGAGATTCCAGACTTAGATGCATTTTACACAGTCTTCAATTTCCTCTTCCGAGGAAACTCATAATCAGACTATGACACTATGACGTAGTTGTACTTTTCGACTTCTGTTTCTTGTGCTTTTTTGTGTACCACTTCACCATCAGTTTCATCAGCTTCATTTAACGAACTTAAATCTGATTTGGTAAACCTGTAACTCGTTCCCAATGAAACACTGGTGTTTTCTTCATTCTCATCGTTTGTCTTCAACGACTTAGTTGTTAGCATCTGGTTAGCTTGCCTGTGAATTACTGACATAATTGGTGTTATTCTGCAGCTTCCGAAGTGTTCAGCCTTGTGAGCTAATTACTATACCAGTACTTTAGTTGTTAATTTATTGCTTTTTGTGGTATAACTGGTATTTCATCTTTCATTTGATGAGTTGCGTTATTTCCTAATTTCAGTTCACGCATTCCCTTGATTAATCGTTCGTCTCTTTATTTATTTCATTTTATTCAAAGTCTGCCCCATTCTTCTCTTAGTTCATTTCCTTTTCTTTAACTTATCTTTAATCGAATGGTTCATTCTTGGATTCCCTGCTTTATAGCCAGTATTTTCGTTTGTCACCCTATTCCTAAGGTTTATTACTCTAATCTCAGCAGCCAGTCGTTTTAATTACCTACTTCTACAAAACTTTTCTGGTTAATCTAAGTTTAAATAATAAAGAATTCACAAAACCGCTAAAATTACAAGCGCATTTCTGATAAGCTGAGATTTAAAAAAAAAGTAGTACTGTCGCAGTACGCAAGCACTCATGCCTTCGGTCGCCCTCCCGGAAGAACTCGTAAAGCAATATTCCCACAGACGCCATAAACAGCTATCTATGGACAACGTTGAGCAGCTGTCGGCAGAATAGAGATTGCACAGCGACACCAGACCGTAAATTGACGAAATTTTATCTCACTTTCAAGAAACAAATTGCGTACTCTGATAGAGTTCCTTACGGGACATTACCAGTTTAACAAGCATCTACATGTAGTAACAGACCCAATCTGTCGTGAATGCAATCAGGCAAAGTCAACAGCTGAGCACATACTTGGTGAGTGTTCAGTGCTAGCCTCCTACAGGAAATCCATACTTGGGAACTATCCATTTTAGTATGGCAAAAATCATGGAGTTCCTACCCTCTGCATTACTCAAGTACATTCAACAAACCGGATGGCTTGACAAGTAGAGAAGCGGGAGGACACCCTAAGTCAGCCCCCATACTTATAATCCAGAATCCAAAATACACAAGATCTAGAGTTGCCTTGATAAGACCGAGAGGAGGCTGTCTTTCGGAGCAAATTCGATATATCTACTTAACTCAAGGCATGAAAGCATCTAATTAATTGGTACCAAGCTACAGAGTTCATAAAATAGTAGGATGTGGATTGCTTAGGTACCAAATCAAAATTTCTTAGGCAACTCTTTACATTCACGAGTTCTAAAATTTGGTGCCAATTAGATGCTTCTATGTCATAAGTTAAGTAATTTGTCCCCAAAAAAGGTCGCCCCGGCCATCTCATAATGATATCCAAAGGCAACCCTAATGCCTGTGTATTTTGTCACAATATTATATTGTATCATACATACCACCTTTCCTGAAAATCTCAGTTTATCAGAAATCAGCAGTGTCGTGATTTAATGGTAAACTTAAATACTTGGCCATAACTCAGGCTCTCTTATACATATATTTTTTCAAGGATTTTTTTATTTGAATCTACTCTATTCTGACAAGGGAAAATTCTATTCAAAATTTTTCGATTCTTCGTTACCTCTCCTCTATGTATACCAGTTCCTACTTTGAAGTCCAAATTTCTGTTTCCAGCATTTTCTGATAAATGGAGCTACCAAATATCATTGAAAGTGTTCAGAATAAACTTCTATTGGAATTTTCAAGAACCTTTTCCATACGTTCCCAAGTGTGTTTTCTAAAACTGCGCTGTTAATAAGGTTGGAAAATTTATATTACATGTTCTAAGAGGTCTCTTCTAGGACCTCACTTCAGTTCTTGAATACTCTAGAATTTCATCTTACTTATTGGCTGACTTTTTTTTAAACTATCCACTAGCCTAGAAGTTTGAAGGAAATTTGTCATTTATCATTATTCATCAGATTCTACCTTATAACGGAGTTGAAAGAGTTTTTTTGGTGAATTCAAATAAACTTGTTTCTAGTCTAGAACATTGTTTGTGAGCTTCTGTTAAAAAATCGTCGTTTCGTTTTGAAAATTTCAACATTATAGCTTGAGTTTCTGTTGTTACCTCAGACCTGAATATTTTCTATCAAAAGAGAAGATGTTTTAAAAAGTTAAACTTGATCATCTCAAGCATAAACGTACTTCTAAAAAAGTGATACATCTATCTACAAGAATATACATTTGGGACTGATAAGGTTATTGAATAACTTTTTGAAATGATGCCATCGTCTTTCTAGTGAAGATGAATATCTATTCTGATATATGCAATATGTAACCACTGTATTCAGTATTTTTCTACAATTAAATAAATCATTTTTATTGGAGGGATTCTGTGTAAACAAGTATCAAAAATATTAATAGTAATAAAGCCCATGGAACACAGCACTTCAAAGTTTTTTTATTTTATTTTTAATAATCGTTGAAATGACATATGTTTTCTGGAGCGAGAAAATAAATAATATTTAGTTAGATGTAATCAGCAAATTACTATTAATATCTTAGCAAAATTTAAAGATATTCATTTTGCAATCCCTTCAGTAAACTGTGAAACCTATATACATACATTTCCGTAATAAATAAGTTAAATTAAAAATAGATCTGAAGTAAACTGAATGAGAAATTTTGGTAGACGTTTTTAGCAGTAAAATAGATTTCTAATGTAATCAGTAATCACTGACAGACAAAAACGGGAAATGTACATTTTCGTATTTTACAAACAATGAATTGCAAAAATATCATTCCGAATGGAAATATAAAAACTGGTGCAAGGTTATTTAGACAGAACTTCCCTCGCCCCTGAATTACAGTCCACAAATTCCGCATTTACGAAATTAATTTTTTTTATCATAACCCATATAAATTAAGAAGTATAGATTATACTTGGCGCCTTAGATGATCGAACCCACGATTTACAAGCAGAACGTTCGAACTACCGCACTATCGCGAACGGGAGTTAATATGCGCTCCACTTTACATACAATTTGGATGTTTTGCAATAATCTAGATGTTTAGGAGAAAAACTCAAGGCGGATTGAAGTAAAAGAATGCATATATTATTTTATAAAAATTAAATAGTATTTACCATGACCAATTTTGACGTGATGTCGTCAAATTATTAGTGGAGATGATTAGATACATAAATTTTGGTTGGCGTTTTACCACCTTTACGACATTTCTAACACACATAGTTATAAAATTTAAAAACAATCGCTCCAGTAGTTTTGGAGACTATCTGTCTAATAAAAGTCGACACTGACGACAAACAGGCTGACGACAGACAAACGGGAGACCTATTTTTTCATGTTCTAGGACTAATAAAGCATGAAAGTAGTCAATCGTCGAATAGAACTTTATTACAATAATTCTTTAGCTTACACCCGGGAACTAAAAAGAGAGAATTTCTGAGCAGTAGTTTTTTGCGACACAGACATTTTATAAAGGGGATAAAAAAGGATGGGACGTATTTTTAAACTTTCTTTAAAAAGAGTTACTTAGATTTAGATACATTCACTCAGTTATCAATTAGTCTATGTTTATAGTTATAAGTGGTGCATAAAATTGTCTTCAAAGTGTTTTTGGGTTGATTTTAATTCTGTTCGAAAAGGGACAAAACAGGGTGAAATGTTTAAAAAAGTTGAACGTTCACAAGGTTTGCCTTGAAAATGTTTTACGTAGTCAAAGCCGCGGGCAAAAGGCTAATGTTCTATAATTACGAACGTTTCAAGATGATAAATAGATTTAATCACAACTGAAATGGCTCGGAAACACCAGATCACCAAATGTTTTTATTGTATTCTTTTTAATTAACAGTTTTACACGTACACGTGTTTTCCCGAGCGATAACAAATGAGGCTTCTAAAAAATTTTGCTAAGATTTGCTGAAATTTATTTGTTTATCGCTTAATTTTTTTTTTTGAGAGAATCTCTGAATTATATAATTATTATAATAATAATTATCTCAGAAAAGACCTATCTAACTACTCACTGATTCTGGAAAGACTATTTCCTACTGAGGACTGAGGATTATCAAAATGTAAAGTGCAACACTTTAAAGACAAATTACAAGATTTTCTTTATTTCTTTGTGGAAAGTCAAAAATTGTAGTGCTTTGAGCATAATGCTTAGGACATCCTTATGCTTTATGCCCATTGTCAATGAGCACTTATTCTCATTGTGAACGAATACAATCATAGAGCATTAAACATAAATTTTTATGCATTAAAGCTTAGGGCATCCTTATGCTTTATGGTCATTGTGAATGAGCACTTAGGTCCTACTAACGAGACCTATGTGAAAATCCAAATTAATTATGCAACCAGCCCTACTGTGGACTGTGATAGGATCCATAACAATATGTTATATAATTTATAATAATATTTCCGAAAGACGGAAGACGCCAACCACCAATTATGCTGCACCTATCTAGCATAAAACATACATTTGCGCACAACAGTATTTTTTTTTACAACTTGAATTTTGCTCACAACTTACTGTGATTTTACTGAATTGTTCTACTGTCGCCTAATTTTATAAAAATGCCACTAATTTAATAATTACCTTCATTTAAAAAATATTGGTAAATTTGGTCTTTTGTAAATCCCACGTCGTAATTAAATTTGATTCATACGTAACACGGACATTTTACCACAGTAATAATAACAATAACGTATGACGGTGGTAGTGCTACCATGCATAATAATTTACTTTGTGTACGATAAACATTTTTTTTTTCGTATTATTTTCATTATAAACGTATCAATGTGAAGGTTACCCAGCACCCACCTGAGACACGTGTAAAGCATGTTGATCTGCTTCGCTATAAACAGCTACGGTTTTCACGCCTAAGCGACGCGCAGTCCTCAATACACGACATGCTATCTCTCCTCTGTTTGCTATAAGCAATTTATCTATCCTTCTTATTGTGCTTTTCCATCTTTTCACCACATGTGTGATTTGGCAGTGTGTACTACTAAAACAAAAAGAAAAAATACGAACGATTTCTTAAAAATTTTATATATTTTTCACACAAAATATAATTAAGCTTATGGAACTGGAAGCTAGGTACATACAGTTTTCAAAAACAGTGACCAAAAGTTACTAAGTTAAGTGCTGATTCATCACACGTAAGAAAATGTACTTACTTTAATGCAAGTAAACTCCACATAACTATTTTTTATCTTGATTTTAATACTTAAACGAGCTAATTGCGACTCGTGTATGAAAAAAGGTTTATCGCAGTGATACTGATATCAATGAAGACACGATTTAGCCTCAGATGACCTTCGTCCGTGTCAACAACAATTAATTTGTAACTATCAAAATTTGTAACTGATAAATGGATTTACCAAAGTTACTATTTAAAAACTTTACGCATATGTTGTTTTATATACATTAGGCATACTCACGCGTATCTACATATCGGTATAATTGGTTACAAATAAATTACTGCATGTAGTAATTGTAGCTAGATATTTATTTCTGTGAAAGTATTGTAATAGAGGATTCATTATTTTATTAGCATTTCACAACTCTTATACACTATCAACGGAAATCCAAGTTTTCATTTCCTTTGTTAGGTTATTAGATAACTTGCTAACAAACCACTTTGAAACGTTAATACCCCACGACTGTCGTGCATATATGTATAAAAAAAATACATCTTTCTGTATCTATGCTTTAGGATGTTATTCGTAAAAGGAAATTATGTGTATAGTAGCTTGCATAGATATTGTAGCCGTCCATAGAGTCGAAATTTGCGAATAAAAATAAAATAAAACCGACTCAAACGGAGCCGACAATGGCTTGCAAGTTCCGTCACTACGGCACGCGTCGCATCGCACAGAGAAAGATGGAAGTTTGAAAATTTATTTCAACAAGCGTAATAATAAATAATAATGTTTGCTGCTAAGATGACTAGGTTTTTCGCTCCACCTACCTCCGCAACGATGAATATACCATACACAACTTGTGTACAGTGAACAGAGCTTCGTTTTTATTGACGAGATTGAGCTCAGAAATTAAACAGATTATATCGTAACGGAAAAGATGACATTTAATATTAAATACGTCTCTGTGCAACGTGTGCCACATTGACGTCAGAATTTGCAGGCCACCGTCGGCTCCGTTTGAACCGGTTTTATTTTATTTTTATTCGCAAATTTCGACTCTATGTACGGCTACTATATCTACTATAACAGTAAACGTTTACTGATTTATCCCAGAGCATGCATGAAGATTTTTTGGAAACTTTGGTAAAAACTAGCACTTATCCAGGGAGTCTGGAACGTCAACTAAAATTTGTGTCATAATAATATATAAAAATATGTGTATAATTTTGTACATTATTTCATAGATGGTTATTTTTTTAGTTTTCCGAAAACTTGGAGATCACAGCAGAATGTCTTAACAAGTTGTAACACCATGTTTGTTGAAAAACAAACCGCACATTTATAAGTACTTGTTGTGCTTTCGGGATACGGAAAGTTCTATGGTAGTTCAGAATTTTTCCAGTAGTACATCAAAGTCATTCAGAAATGTAATAAACGACGTAATTGTGCATTCCTTTATTGTCAAAGGACACAGACTTTTGCTTACATAAAATACTAAATTATACAATAAAATTTATTTCTATTTATTATATTACAATTGCGTACAGAAAATTAATACATCACAAGATTTAGACGTGAGTTAATCTTCATTTATTATCGATTTTATTATTTTCATGAAAAATATTTCATTTGCTAGACTGTGCTGAAATAATTCAGAAATGGGAACTTAACGAAAAATAAATACGTTACAATTATGTTGGTAAAAATCACAATAAAATAAAAGTACCACTTCAGTCAACTTTAACCACACTATAAATTTTTCTAATAAACCAGAAACAAGCAAAAAATCCAATCGTTCCTGTTAACAAATTAAACAAAAATACCATAATCAACGTGTAACCAAAATAAAGAAATGCAGATGCCGCATCCTCGATCTGCAGTTTTGTGAAGAAATAGTGACAGCAGTACAAAAACAAATAAACTGCTGTAAACCCTGATGTCAGATACGACCGCCACCACCAGTGGTAATCTTCTGCGCACAAATGAAAGTAACACAAAAGAATTGTCGTCTCTGCACAAGTTATCACTAAAATTATGAAAACTAAAAAGAGAAAACCGAACATATAATACATCTGTGAAGACCAAATCGAATTCAAAATGAAGAAAAGCTGAATAAAAATACAACCGAAGGGTAAAACGCCACCCATCACTATTCCGGGAACCGGTTGAGTGTAGATGGACTGTTCTGGAATTAGCCGTGGAATCTGATTCGTCCTCACGGGGTGCTCAAGAGCCTACAACACAAAGTTCGCATAATTATAACATACAACATCAAACGCTTACCCTTTTTCGAAAGCCAAAGAATGCCCCCACAAACGTCAGAGGCACCGAAACCAATAACCACAAGGCAAGTAGGCCTACCAAAGTGCTGAAAGGCACAGCTGCGGAGCTTCCTTTACTCCACAATACTAAATTCATCACGAAAAACAATCCAAAAACAATCCCGGGAGATAACATTGAAGTCAACAGAACGTTAGACTTCCACTTCTCGCCTCCAAAACTCTTGTATATCCTTGCCGAGACGTAACCAGCTGGCGAACCAAGCAGAACGTAAAGTACCATGGCGCACGTCATCAAAGCCCCTCGATTTGCAGGACTTAAAAAGCCAAGGCAAGCAAACGCTAAAGTTACCAAAGTCATGAAAAATACTTGGACGCCTGAACCCAGCAAAACTGAAAGTAACATTCCTTTTCTAGGCGGCCTGAAGACATCTCCATGGACAAGTTTCCAACCGAATTCTTCCTATTAATTTAAACATGTAACCAAATTAGCTAGTGTGAATACAATACTTGCCTGTGCATCCTCTCCGCTGTCGATTTGGTTGTACCTGGCGATGTCTTTGTGAAGGGTCCGCAACATAATCATGGCAACCATTCCCGACAAAAACAAAACGATAACTAGCGAGTTTAAAATGCTGAACCACTGAATGTTGGTGTGTGGCATTGATTCCAAAATGTAATCCCACCTGGATGACCACTTAACGGCATTATTTTGAACAAAAGTAACGGCGTAGGTGTATATTATTTCGTATTTTTCATCAGACTTGAGTGATGTTTTCAATTCTAATGTTTTCGTATTTTGCGGCGAGCAGTCCAGGTTTCTGAAAATATTGCTATATAATAACATATTCAATATAAAAAAATCTTGCCAACAACGCAAAAGGTGGTTTAAAATTTTCAAGAAGCAACATCTTTTTTGTCATTAGGCATTTTTAAAACAATGTAGATTGTGTTTTTTAACCAAAAGATTAATGGTCAAATTTTGTCTTTCAATTAATAATTATTTAAATTTTACAAATTCAAGTTAAATTAATGTCCTACTCCTCAAACGATCTAGTCACTTAAAAGTAACATTACGTATATGGATTTCTATTTTTCATTCTAACATAAATATGAAAATTTTAAAAATGCAGGATTAATATTATAAAATAAATTAGAACTCCTACATCACGTTTCCTTCTCAAACGACATAGTTAAGAAAAGTTACTGAACATAGCAATTTTGGGAAATGTGAAATCTTATTTTTTCTTAACGTTTCTTAAGTCAAGTATAAGAATATGCTGGCTTCTCATTTCAATTCATTCTATCCATATTAATTTAACGGATGTTCAAATGAAAAAGTCATCAAGTTAGCGTTCCTTTTTTGATGGAAGAAAACGTGGCGAAAAACGTATGTGTTTTATGATTACAAACTGTACCTAATGTTTGAGTAAAGGTAAAAAAAAAATTTGTATTGATGTCATCCACATTTTTGTAAGGACATACGTATCAGTTTGGATAGATGCATTGTAATACTAATAATAAAAGTATTGTATGACATTATTCTTGAATCGTGATTTAAATAAAATTACGAAACAATTTAATCACGTCTGCCGTATGTAAAAACAGAAGTGCGACTGAAGACTGAACTGAAAATCAGTTATGATACTCGTAATTTAAGACAAATAGCGATAACACTTATCAACCTGTAGACGTAACAATGAAACAGAAACTAAACTGAAAGATGTTTTCTACGAATTACAATAACCGGATCACAATTCCGACGGTCCAGACTTTTTATTGCTCTGACTTCCGCTTCTTGAATAAAATATTGCATTTTATTTTGATTTTCGATGTTATAATTCACATTTGGTTAATTATAAACTTGTCTAGATCTAGGGGAGGCTCAGTATCTCTTAGCCTCCCCCTAGCTACGACCTTGAGGTTATGAAATATCGAGAAAATATGAAAGTACCAAATCGCCCAATGGACTCCATTACTGTACAACTTGAAAGGGGAAAATAGGGTGACTCGTTCTTTCGAGTCATCCTGTATACGTAAATTTAAAAAATATGAATGCAATGATAAATTACAAGTATAGACTGATCATATTATTTATATTTTAAATAGAATTTGTTCAGCAAAATTTTTAGGTAACGTCATCAATTTTTTAGGAGGATGAGCAAATACATTTTGATCAAAAATTTATCATGCTTATGATAACTTTAAAACATCTCCAAGATTTAAAAGCATTCGATTTTGTAGTTCCTGATTAAATCAATAAAATAAATTTACGCATTCATTAATTTTTTTGAGTCACCCTGTAAAAACAAATCCAAGAAATATGAATGGAATGATAATAAGATTATTTATTGACGGTTCATTTACAAAACAGGAAGATATAATTTAAACAATTTTTAAATTAAACGAATTTTTTTAACTGTTGCGGCAGATATTTCTACAAAATCCATATCTTTATGTAAATAAGTTAATTTACACAGCCGACAGTGGGGTACATGATAAACCACAAGTACAGACTCATCATACACATTTTCTACATTTTAGATAAGATTTATTCGCCAAAATGTTGAGCTGACGTCATCAATTTTTTCGAGGCGATAAGTAAATATATTTTGATTAAAAATTTATCAGGACTATCATAACCTTAAAACATCTGCAAGATTTCAAAGCATTCGGTTATGCAGCAAAACGTTGTTTTATAATTTTTTTTTTTAACTACATGTGTAGGTTTGTGTTATTTTATACGATTTAAAACCCATTTACTTATAAGGTGACCAGACGTTCCGATTTGATCGGAACTGTACCGATTTCAATACTTTAATTCCGATTTCAAATTTCATCCAATAAATGTTCCGATTAAAACATTTGTTCCGTGAATGTTCCGATTTCTATAAACCTGATAAGAATAAAGATAAATCCTCGGATAAATCACTAATTTTCATGAATAGTAATCTTATTTTGTGAAAAATTAGGAACAAAACTTGTATCGATACGGTTGTCAGCGCTGTTTTAAATGTCAACAGAGGTCAGTACTGTTAGTATCTTACAAGTAAACATTTTCAAAGCAGTTATATATCAGATTACGATGGAAATGGAAACTAATGTTCCGATTTCGGACTTCTGAAATCTGGTCACCTTAATTTACAATGTACAATTTTGAAATGACGTCATCACATTATTAGTGGGGACGATTAAACAAATTTTGGTTAGCGCTTTACCATCTAGATGATATTCTTAATGTAAATACAAATTTCACAACAATGGGCCCAGTACTTTCAGAGATTATCTGTCTAATAAAAATCAGTGACGGCAGACAGACAGACGGATGGACAGAGAGACAGGCACAACAGACGGAAAATGGAAACCTATTTCTTGAGGTCGTGGAAGGTCGGGAAAACGTAAAAGTAGAGAGTCGGCCGACGGACTCGATTACAATACTTTCTTCGCTTAAGCTCGGGAAGTAAATATCAAGATGACTTGATGACTTTTTCAATGGAGACCTGATGTACAGATGGGTCCATTAATAATGATTAATGACCGTCTCCCTCGGCCATGGTCTCGGCAATGCACTACCGAAAGTACCCGAACCGTTCGAGAGAGACAAGGTTGGATTACAACTGCAAACATAGCCCGACATTTATCGAAATTCAGGCATCTCCAAAGGCTCTGGTATTTTCGGCAGTCCATAATTAGGACCATGGACGCGGGAGACGGTCATTATTTATGTACAAAATTTGCTTACAAAAATCTTTTAAAACGATTATTTTTGTCATTTCGACCATTTCTAATTTCTGTCTTGACGTATATTTTCTTAAACACTGCAATATTACAATGTTTTTGAAAAATTAATCTTATCTTATATAGTGGGCAAATCTGAACAATAAGACTTTTTTTGTAATTTTTTGTCATACTATGTGTACTCTGTAAATATCCAGCAGATTGCAATCTATAAACTGTTAACGCACTAACTAGTTGCAAGAACATTAAAATTTTCCACTTTATAACCATGACGAAAAGTCTAGTAGACCATTTATTGTGATTAGTGTCATTATCTCTGAACAATAAATATTAACATCAACATTTATTATACCTGTAGGTTTTTCATTCATTTTATAATAGCCTTCACAAATTTACAAACAATGATGGGCGTTACAAATCATAAAATTTAGCTGGTTACCTTTCGTCCTTATGATAAATGCTCCTGGGAACAACTTTAACGGAGATGATTCTGCCTCCATTACTTTTGAACTTATTGCCCCATTCCTCTTGTTCTCCTGAATGATATGTAATTGTCAAGTCCACATGATTATAAATGTAATAAGCATTCTGTCTGTCAGGACTTCTCAAGCAGGTATCTCTTCCATCTCTTGCAAAACACCCCATTTGAAATCCTGTGGTGCAATACTGTTTACTATCCTCAGTCTCATAGCAGCTAGTTACAGGCATATTATCAACAATCCAGTGATGTTTATAATTTAATGTAATGCCTTTCCTTAAAATACTTAGACGACGGTTCGCTGATGGATCATTCCCAGAGTACTCTTTTTTACAAACCTCTTTACAACTAATATTTTTCATAAATTCGAGTATATAGGGTGAAGGACGAATCCGTTCGCCAAACACTACTTGTCCCAAGTTTTCCACTGGAGATTTCCTATCAGCGTCAGGTTGACAGAAGTCAAAGTAATTGTACTCATAGGGAATTACCGACTCCTCAGTGTTCAGTCTGTTTACATATAGTAGTACTTCAGCCTAAAATGCATTTATTAAAAGTGTTCCTACTTCCTCAAATTACTTACTTTACACGTGTCTGAATAACCTTTTTGACAATAATTTACAGGCGCCAGGCCAGGTAAATAAAAGGCTTCAATGTTTGTCACATGCCACAATAATAATATGCATAATGAACTCGTTAAATACATCGTTCTTGGACAAATCTTCTGCATTTATTTTGTTACTTTCATTAAAAAATATATTACTGAGATAACAATAATAAAAATCGCCTACACAAAACGCGAAACGTCACCACGATAATTCACTGATAAAAATTACCACGACACAAATTTCTACGTTTCAAGCCCTTGTTACAATTTGTAAGAATATGAATGTGCAGCGATACAGGAAATTACCAAAGTGCAGTTAGGGTCTTTTCTTAGGCTTCGTGTTCGAATGAGATAAAATTCACAAATTTTCGCAGAGAATCATGTTGATTTTTGACAATCTCCTACAGGGGTGCCAACACAATAACGCCACCCATTGCCGGTTGTTGTGACGTTATTTTGAAAATTCAACTCAAACTGTCCCAGTTTGCAAAGAATATTTTGTTTCGACGTTAATTGTTTCTAGATAATTGCTAATTAAGTAGTATTTTAGGCATCGTTCCGAGTCGGTATTTAGGAAAAATTTGAAATGGAATTTATGTTGGCATGATGAGCATCCGCCATTTTGCGGCTTGAGTCACTGTTTTGAAGTGTTTTTCGAGTACGCAAGCGCATCCGCAATTTGTTTGTGGAGTCAATTCGTAAAGTGGCGTGCTTTATAAAGAAATAATAAATAGCGATTGAGTATCAAGAGGAGAATGGGTAGAATTTAATTATAGTTGTTATTAACCATATCAGCGAACGTTTTATTAGGGTAATTTGATTTTAACGTGGACGATTTTTTCTTCAATTGTTTCAGCAATGGCGTCGTTTGGGTCCCTAACCTATCTTTGAATTTTTTTTCAGATGCGACGTAAAAGCACTCGCAATGCCCAAAAAGCGGCGTCCGATAAATCATCCAAAGAGACAGAAACGCCGCCCAAAACGCGCCGTTCCAGGCGTCGTAAACGGTCTCCGTCGAAGTCCAGTGATTCTGAAGAGGAAGTGTTGACAGTGACGAAACGTTCGGCGCCTGTAGATACTCCTGATACAACAACAAAAAGTCACACTCCCACCGATGAGGAGAATTCGGAAGAATCTATGTGGAAGGTTACGTCGACGGAAGATAGCCCCAAAGGAGAAATTCAAAAATTAAAGATTTGCTTAACTCGACCGTCGCCAGAATCGCCGGGAAAAAGCAAGACGCGACGCAGTAAATCCAACAGTCAAACTGAAGACGAAACGACGAGTTCTGAGGATAAAACAGCGAGACGAACTCGTTCGCAAGGATCTCCGATCGTAAGAACCGACGTTTTATCTAGTCAAGAAGGTGAAGAAGAATCGGAAGAGAAGAAAGGTAAAGGTAAGTCTAAAGGTAAACATAAGTCAAAAATAGAAAAGTCACCGCACTTAAGTGAGCCTGAACTTCAAACGAACAATGAAATTTCTGAAAATGTACAGGTGACGCCTCAGTCACCCTCTATCGATAAGCCAGTTGATAATGAGAATGACCATAAGGTCGATGTCGACAATTTACAAAATGTAAATGAAACTGTCCAGGGGCATGAAAACGTCGAAGAATCCGCTAGTAATGTTGGTCGTGATTCTGACAATGAACGAGATGAGACGAACGTTTCTAAAACCAAACCTGAGTCCTGTGGTAACACAGAAAATAAGGAGTCTGACGATGACGAGCCTCTTAGTGTCATTCTGAAAAACGAGAATGATAAAAAATGTGAAAAAGAACTCGACAAGAAAAGTGAACATCAAAATGTTGAATCAGACAGCCAAACTCAACATCAGGATGTTGAATCAGATAGTCAAACTCAACATCAGGACGTTGAATCAGACAACAAAAATGAACCTCAGGATGCTGAAGCTGACAACAAAATTGAACATCAGGATGTTGAATCTGACAACAAAATTGAACATCCAGATGTTTCACAAGATCAGCAAGAAGAAAGTCTTAAAGTATTACACGAAGAAACGTTACAACCTGAACTTCAAGAAAATGTTGAGCAGTCTGAAGACAAAAAAACTGTTGAAGAGGAGTCAGTTGAGCCAGAGAAACATGATATAGTAGAAGAAACTGTGGAGTCGTCAACAAAAGAATCTGAGGTGAAAGACGTTGAAGAGCAGTCTACAGACAAAAATGTATTAGAAAAAGCAGCAGAACCTGTGGCTCAAGAAAAATACACAGAAGAGAAAATTGAACAAGAAATGTCTTCTGATAATATTGAAACAAATCAATCTGATACAGTGGAGCCAGAAACAGAGGCGCAAGACACAGTACCAGAAAAACAAGCGCGAGACGTAGAGCCAGAAAAACAGACGCGAAATGTCGAGCCAGAGAAAAAGACGCGAAACATAGAGCCAGAGAAAAAGACGCCTAACATAGAGTCAGAAAAAAAGGCGCGAGACATAGAGCCAGAAAAAAAAGTTCGAGACATAGAACCAGAAAAAAAGGTGCCAGACATAGAACCAGAAAAAAAGGTGCCAGAAATAGAGCCAGAAAAAAAGACGCGAGACAAATCTGTAGAAAAGGTTTCGCCATCACCAACAGCAGAAGAAAAACAGCAGAGAAGTAAAGGTAAGGGCTTTGATTTATAATTTTATCATTTTTAGTTTACACTTTACATTTAATGGCAGTTCTGTCCTAATAATTTCTCAACTTGCATTACAATGTCATCAAATAATAATTTTTGAAAAAAAAATTTTTTTTGGCATTTCACAATGTCTAGAATACGAAGATGTTAAATTAACAGTCTCTAAAAGTGTAAAGTTTGTCTAGAATTATAAGAATTTTATGGACTCCCAAAGTTAATTCGTTTTACAGCCCTGTTGTCAATTTTATTGTACAGCTGAAGAGCCGGGCGAACTCAGGTACAGAAAACATCGGCTTTCCCCTGACAAGCTCTTTACCTGTACAAAAAGAATTGACGCCTGAGCTGTGAAACAAATTAACGTTGGGAGTCCATAAAATTCTTATAATTCTGGACAAACTTTAGCACCAACTATTTTATAGCTGAAGCTTGTTGGTGATTTTATTAGACACATAAGTAATTTCTAAAACTACTAGACTGATCACCCTCACCAACAATTTAATGACGTCAAACTCACACAAAATTAGTATTTTTGTCTCCACCAAGAAAAATCTTTGAAAAACACGTTTTCTTATTCATGTCATTTTTTACTGTGCTTCAACGAAAAACAAAATTCAATTTTTTTTGCTTGGTGTAGTACGATTTGATAAAAAAAAAATGGGCAAATGACAGTGATATGAACGTCTTATTCCCATTACTTTTCATTGATCTATGGGAACCTGATTTGCTCCCCTTACCAATTTTTTTTTTTTACAAATCACATACAGTTGCAAGAAGAACAATGTTATTTATACAGAAATAGATTGGTCTACTGAGTAATGCTACTTCTCCTTTTTCTTTTGTAGAACGGGCTCCTCGACATAGGCTCAAGCGCAATATAGAATCTGTTCAATCAGATTCAAAAGAAAATGATAAGAGTGACGAAATTTGCCATATCAAACCCTCACGAATTAAACGTAAATGGGAGGGTCACTCAAATGTGAAATCTTCACTAGTGAAAATCGATTTAGAAAGCGTACAAACAGTGTGGCCTACAGTAGAATTTCCTGAGGAACCCGACCTCAGCGTAGAAGTCGAAAAAGAGCGAAGAAAATCCCTTACGGAAACCTCCGCGAAAAAATTGGAGCGCAAAGTATCAGTAGAGTACAAATCCGACTTTTCCGAAAGACCGTCGTTCGAAAAGCAAACTTCTGTTAATTCCGTAACAAAAGATGGCGAAGACAGTTCGAATATCATCGCGTTTAATCGAAAAATTAGCATCGTAGACGATACCGCCAGCAAATTGAAGCCACCTCCAAGCCCGGCCAAAAACCCGATTTCGAATATCTTGTATATCACGAACTTAGTGAGGCCTTTCACTGTTAAACAATTGAAGGAACTGTTGGAGCGTACTGGAAAAATACAAGAAGAAGGCTTCTGGACGGACAGAATCAAATCAAAGTGTTATGTGCAATATGAAAGTCAGGAGTAAGTGTGTATCTGTTTATGTAATCTTGTTTTAATTGACGCTTTACAGTGAAGCCGAAGCAACAAGAAACGCGTTGCATGGTGTTCAGTGGCCCATCGGTAATGGGAAAAAGTTAATTATTGACTATGCGACGGAAGAAGACATGCAAAATGCGAAAAATCCACCGCCGCCGCCAGCGCCAGCACCTGTACCAGAGACAAAAACAGCTACGAAGGAAAATTTGGTAAGTTTTGTATTAAAGTTACAACAAAAAGTTGCTATGTAAAATTGCTTTATTTAGGAACCAGTTGAAAATAAATCAAGACCGGAAGAGAAGAATTCCAAGGAGATGGAAAAGAAGAGGACGGAAGTACCTGTCAGGGAATGGGACATCGGGAAGAAAGAGTTGCGGCGTGACAGATCAAGAAGCAGAGAAAGGGGTCGAAAACACAGGCGGTCAGCAAGTCCACCAGATGGTAAGTGTCGTGCCAATAAACGTTTAGTTAACAGACAGTGAAAACAATGACTGATGATCTATTTTAAAGTCAATTGGAACTGTAAAACTTTTTGCAATATGTATTGAATCCTTGGGGTAGATATGTTGAAAGCTAGAATGAAAAACATTAATTGGACGAAAAAGACTAAATTTTTTTAACGATACCTCAAGATTAAATTTCTCTCAGACTTGTCCTTTTTTTTCATTACGTTTTTCGTTCTTAATTCGTTAATTTTTTAGTGAAGATTAAATAGATTTTGTTATTAACAATATTAGTCAAAAGGTTACTGCCTCCCAGAATTTGAGGTCCCCAGAAAATGTATTTATCTGACCCCTTTATTATTGCCATACAGTAAACCGTTGGTCCTTTGAACATCTGTTGCAATTTGTAATATAGAGTACGAAAAAATAGGTCTCCTATTTCCGTCTGTCTCTTGTCTGTCTGTCTGCAGTCTGTTCGGATTTGTATTAGACCTAAACCACTAGACCATTCGTTATCAAATTTAATGTGTGTATTTTGATTATCATGTACACTGTAAAACGCTAATCAAAATTTGGCTGATTATCCCCTCTCAATGTACATTAGTAAGTGTTATTTAAATTATAAAAAATAAGATACTCCCTCCTGCATTTGTGGTTTATGAATCCGTGTTGAGTTTTTACCTTCGATATCCAGATTTTTAGGACAAAAATTAAAATTGAACAACAGAGTTTCCAATTTAACTGTGAAACTACAAAAGCAAATGCTCTGAAATCTTCCAAACATTTTAAGGTTGTCGTAAGGATGGTAAATCAGAATTTATTTATACTGTACAAGTGTCACTTTTTTGGTTTTTAAATTTTTCGATTTTACAGTTAATCGATTTTTTGATTTTTCGACTCCTCGATATTTCGATGTTCCGATTTTTCGATTTTCAGATTTTCAATTCTTCAATTTTGTGGTTTTTCAGGTTTTTGATTTTTCAATTTTTCAAGATTTTTTGACTTCAATTTCTCGATATCTTAGTTTTTCGATGTTTCCGTTTTGACATTTTTGAGTTTTTCGTTTCTTCAGTTTTTTGTAATTTTAATTTTTTAATTTCTTAAGTTTTAGATTTTTCGATTACTCGTTTTAGATTTTTTAGTTTTATCGATTTTTTTAAAATTCAAATTTTTTAGATTTATTTTTGGATTTTGAGCCATTTAGATTTATCGATTTCTCGATCTTTGAATGCTTCGATTTCTCGATGTTTCAATTTTCCAAGATGCAGATGTTTTGATTTTTCAATTTCTTGGTTTTTCGATTTTTGATTTTCCTTTTTTTTTTTGATGTTTCGAATTTTCAATTTTTGGTTTTCAGGTTTTTGTACATTCAGTTTTCGATTTTTAAAATTTTAGATTTCTCGATTTCTCGTTTTTGTAATTTTTCAGTGCTTCAATTTTTCGATTTTACGATTTTCAATTCTTCAATTTACGATTTTTCAGGTTTTTGATTTATCAATTTTTGGAAACTTTTCTACTTCGATTACTCGATTTTTCAGTTTTTGGATATCTCAATCCTATGTTTTCGATTTTGGGCTACTTTGATTATTTATTCGTATCGATTTTTAGATTTCTTTATTTCAACTTCTCGATTTCCTAATCTTTTGATGCTTCGATTTCTGGATGTTTCAATTTTGCAATTGCAGATAGAGATGTTTTGATTTTTGAATTTCTTGGTTTTCCGATTTTTTGATTTTTCATTTGTTTTTTTTTATTATTCGAATTTTCAATTTTTTGGTTTTTAGTTTTTTGTACATTCAGTTTTGAGATTTTTCAAGTTTTCGATTTTTTAAATTTTAGTTTTCTCGTTTTTGTAATTTTTGTGTTTTAAATTTTTCGATTTTACGATTTTTTAATTTTGTAATTCATATTCAATTTTTCGATTTTTCCATTTGTCGACTTCTCGGTTTTTCAGTGCTTAAAATTTTTCGATTTCTCAATTTTTCAAGTCTTCTCAACTTTTCATCACTTCGAGTTTAGGATTTTCTCCATTTCTGGATTTTTCGAAATTATAATTTTAAATATTTTGGTTTGTCGATTTCTCGATCTTTTGATGTTTAAATTTTTCAATATTTCGCTTTTCCGATATTCGGTTTTTTTTAATTTCGGTTTTAGATTTTTCGATTTCTCGGATTTTCATTTTTTCGAATATTTGGTTCATCGAATTTTCGACTTTTTGATTTTTGAATTTTCGATTTTTCAATATTCGAATTTTCTTTTTTGAATTTTTCCATTCTTCAGTTTTTCGACTTTTTAATAATTACATATTTTACTTTTCGATTTTTGATTTATCGAGTTTTCAATTTTCGATACTCAAATTTTCAATCTTTCTACTTTTCAATTTTTGATTTTTCAAATTTTCAATTTTTACATTCTTGGCCACTTTTATGTTTTCTTGACGGTTCATGACCTCTAGAGTAGGAAAAAGGTAGTCTCCCATTTCCGTCTGTCTGTCTGGTGTCTATAATCCATTTTTATTAGACACGTAATCTTCGAAACTACCGAACCGATTGTTGTCAAATTTTGTATGTATATTAGGAATATCGTGTAGATGGTTAAACACTAACCAAAATTTGTCCAATCATCCCCACCAAAAACGTGATGCCATCTCCTTCATTTTAACAATGAATATTTTTAAAATTTTATAAAATCATATATGTACTTCTACACTTGTAGTTTACGAATCCGCGTTCAGTTTTAATCACAATTATTTTACAAAAATCTTTCTGTAATATGCGCTGCTTGTTGTGTCTCGCGCGCGTCCAAACAACTGCGTTGTAGCTGCTTGGGCTGGGGCGCCAACCAAGCATTTGAATAAATCAGCACTCGTGAGTTCGATTCTCATTCGCTTCTTTTTACTTCCCGAGCGTAAGCAAAGGAAGTATTGTAATCGAGTCCGTCGGCCGACTCTCTACTTTTACGTTTTCTCGATCTTTCATGACCCCTAGAAGACGAAGAAATAGGTCTCCCATTTCCGTCTGTCTGTCCGTCTGTCCGTCCGTCTGTCCGTCTGTCTGTCCGTCTGCCGTCCCGGATTTTTATTAGACAGATAATCTCCGAAAGTACTCGACCGATTGTTGTGAAATTTTGTACTTATATTAAGAATATCATGTAGATGGTAAAACGCTAACCAAAATTTGTCTAATCATCCCCACCACTAATGCGATGACGTCACTTCAAAATTGTACATAGTAAATGGGTTTTCAATTGTATAAAATAACATAGTCCTACACATGTAGTTTACAACTCTGAATCGACTTTTCACCCGAAACGTCCAGATTTTTGGAAAAAAAATCAAAATTATAAAACAATATTTTGAAATTTAATTTTTAATCTGCTAACCAGAATGCTTTGAAATGTTGCAGATGTTTTAAGGCTATAAAGAGCATCATAAATCTTTAGTCAAAAAATATTTGCTTACCCCCTCCAAAAACTTGATGACGTCAGCTCAAAAGTTTGTGGAATAAATCATATCTAAAATGTACAAAATATGATGAGTCTGTACTTGTGATCTATCACTCCATTCATATTTTTTGGATTTGCATATACAGGATGACTCAAAAAAATTAATGAATGCGTAAATATATTTTATTGATTTAATCAGGAACTACAAAACCGAATGCTCTGAAATCTTGCAGATGTTTTAAGGTCATAAAGAGCATAATAAATGTTTAGTCAAAATATATTTGCTTATCCCCTCCAAAAACTTGATGACGTCAGCTCGAAAGTTTGCCGAATAAATCATATCTAAAATGTACAAAATATGATGAGCCTGTACTTGTCATTTATCACTCCATTCATATTTTTTGGATTTGCATATACAGAGTGACTCAAAAAAATTAATGAATGCGTAAATATATTTTATTGATTTAATCAGGAACTACAAAACGGAATGCTCTGACATCTTGCAGATGCTTTAAGGTTATAAAGAGCATAATAAATGTTTAGTCAAAATATATTTGCTTATCCCCTCCAAAAACTTGATGACGTCAGCTCGAAAATTTGCCGAATAAATCATATCTAAAATGTACAAAATATGATCAGTCTGTACTTGTGATCTATCACTCCATTCATATTTTTTGGATTTGCATATACAGGGTGATTCAAGAAAATAAATGAAAGCGTAAATTTATTTTACTGATTTACTCAGGAACTACAAAACCGAATGCTTCGAAATCTTGAAGATATTTTAAAATTATCATAAGCATGGTAAATTTTTGATCAAAACGTATTTGGTCGTCCCCCCTAAAAAATTTATGACGTCACCACAAAATTTTGCTGAATAAATCCTATCTAAAATGTACAAAATATGGTGAGTCTCTTCTTGTGATTTATCATTCCATTCAAATTTTTTCGATTTGCATATACAGGGTGACTCAAAAAAATTAATGAATGCGTAAATTTATTTTATTGATTTAATCAGGAACTACAAAACCGAATGCTTTGAAATCTTGCAGATGTTGTAAGGTTATAAAGAGCATAATAAATTTTTAGTCAAAATATATTTGGTTATCTTCTACAAAAAACTGATGACGTCAGCTCAAAAGTTTGCCGAATAAATCGTATCTAAAATGTACAAAATATGATGAGTCTGTACTTGTGATTTATCATTCCATTCATATTTTTGGATTTGCATATGCAGGGTGACTCAAAAAAATTAATGAAGGCGTGAATTTATTTTATCGATTTAATCAGGAATTACAAAACCGAATGCTTTGAAATCTTGGGAATATTTTAAAGTTATTATAAGCATGGTAAACTTTTGTTCAAAATGTATTTGTTCATCCCTCCTAAAAAAATTGATGACGTCAGCCTTAAATTTTGCTGAATAAATCCTATCTAAAATGCAAAAAATATGATGAGTTTGTACTTGTGATTTATCATTCCATTCATATTTTTTAAATTTTCTTAAGAGGTGGTTCAAAAAAATTAATGAAGTCAATTTATTTTATTGATTAAATTAAAGGCAACACTTATTATTAGTATTACACCTCAACCAACCCAATTTGGTAGACACAAAATTTGTTAAAGGAAAAACTCGATTGAAACATAAGGGTAGCACGCTTATTTACATCGACTTTAACATTACAGACCTGCATTTGTTTTATGCGGTCACTTGGTTCCGCGAATGCGAAATAGACATGTTTATAATCAACCAATTGTGAATTTCATCGTCAAGAATTAAAATAAAACGCAATGTTTTATATAATAAGCGGAAGTCGAAGCAATAAAACCGATGGTCGTTTTGTTTACAGTTTCTCTGTTTGACTCTCACGTATGCTGTTACGCTTGTCATCTTAAATTAAGAATGTTTATACATAAACGATTTTCAGTTGCCTTTCATATTACTAGACAGCGGATTTTTGTCGGGCTACGTCACGTTTAATCGGTACTAATTCCATAAATATAATTAACGATTTATTAATCAAACGGCTAAGTAAATGAGAACGGGAATTAACAGCAGAGTGCAACGAAACAACGTTATTCTAATCTCAAATAAACGAAGTGCAGTCCGCAACGGCAATGAATTCGCATCCCGTGTGAGCCGTACCGAGTTTGGCCTTGCCTAGCCCGACAGAAATCCGCTCTCTAGATATTACACACCGGCGCCGTATACGTGAGTAAATTGTTTCGTTATTTTATTGATTATAAGAAATCAATATTCAAAACGACCCAATTCATTTTCCCGAAAATTTGGGAACACAATAATTTTATTCTTAGCATTACACTACATCTATCCCAACTGATATACGTGTCCTTGTAAAAATGTTGATGACGTCATCACAATTTTTTTTTTAAATTCCCACTACAAAAATGTAATGAGAAAAAAAAACATAATAGGCATGCAGTCGTCAAGTTTCCGACAGCGAGGGAAGTACTGTCTAAACTCTTTAGACCAATTTTTTTTTTAGCAAATCAAGAACGGTACACCCTTTACTCGAAAATTACAGTAATGTCACACCGCAAATAATTGAAATTTTTTCGAAGTGTAAACATAAATACTCAAAGTTAAAAGTTAACCATGTACTTAACTAAAACTAAATTAAAAGTAGATTTTTTCGTTAAATATATTTTCTATTGTTCGCACTTTCCAAATTTTATAATTGTTCAAAGAAGCGGGATTTATTTCAGGAGCTAGAGAAGTTCTGTCGAAATAAATTTAGACCAATTTTTTTACCTTTCAATTTCGCAAATTTTCAATTCCATTTTTTCAATTTTTTTCGAGTATTGGATTTTTCGATTTTCCGTTTATTTAAGCAACTTTAGATGTTTGATTGTCTTTCAGGGATGAGAGAAGTTCTTTTTAAATAATTTTAGACCAATTTTTACTTGCCCAGCCTAGTCGGGTCAATTTAACGAAAGGCTGATTTCATGTTTTCACGACATAATATAGCTCCTAGAATTAAAAGTAGATCTTCCGATTTAGTAGATTTGTCGTAATCCCCGAAACTAGTGGACAGATTTTTCCGTTAGGTTTGCTTTAAGAATATTACATATATTTCTTGAAATATTGTACGAATGCCTGTCTACTAGTATTTATCGACGTTGTTCTAAATAGTCCTTTGCAGTTAATTGTTGTAAATAGAGTGATTTTACAACTAACATTCAACTTGAAACCATCACCACAAAAGAAAGAAAAAAACGAATATTTTTAATTTGCAATAAGAAATATTTTATTTACTTCTAAAACGTATCTAATCCTTCCTTCACGTTCGTGATCAAGAGGTCGATATTTCTAAATACACAAAATATCTTGTAAATAAAATTCAAGATACTCTGCACACATTTAAGTGGAAACGGAACTGTGATGATTTTTTAACGCTATAATCTGTTTGCAGATTTCATCAGCAGGAAGCAGAGGAAAACCGAAGAGTCCGTCCCGCAAAAACTGATGGATGACCTGTTCCTGAAAACGAAAGCAACTCCAAGCATATATTGGCAACCGTTGTCGCCAGAAGAGGTAATGTTGAGTCCCTAAAATAATTGCACATTAAACATGGGTTACTTACAGATTTCAATGAAACAGCAACAGCGCTTAATTCGTATGGAGGAACACAAGAGACGAATGGAAGAAAATTCGCGAATGAAAGGACGAGAAATGGGGCGGGGGGCGTTTCGACGTAGATACGATTAATTTTTGCAGGAAAGAAAATACATAAACTTAATTTTGTTGTGCGATTGATGGCGAATTGAATGAGTGAGTGTGTTTACGAAAAAAAATTATTTACTTTGATTTTTCCTTACCATTTAGTGCATTTCCCTTAATTTTGTCGTGAGTGATGATGGATAAGTGACGATAATCCTATTTTTTGTAGGATTTTCAGTATAGGTTTCACACTGAGTTCCATTCAACGGGGGAGAATTAAAGAAGCTAAAATTTACACTTTAGTGAAGGTAGTAACGTTTCTTACAACTGATACTTTTCACAAAGTGTTGTATATTTGATGAATGTTTTTCCACAAAACATAAAATTCTGTAAATGCTAGATTTGATTCAATATTAAATCTTTATTATAATATCTGAATATTATTACATTTTAATTCGTAATTTATGAACATGATTAGGAATGTAAATTTACATTAATCATTGCGATGCTTCAAAAAGTGCGTAGTAAAGTATTTTCACATGTACAAAAGTTATAACTACGAATTATATACATCGTTGCAATAAAAAATAAGAACAGCAGGGTGCAGCATAGTACGCTAACCACTACACCTATAAAGAGATGGCCTATAGCTGATGGATTAGGAAAAAATATGGCAAATTTAAGTATAAAAATGCCACCGTCTGATCCTTAAGCAACCCATTCACCATAATTAAGTCATATTGAAAAACAAAACAAAGTAGTTGCTTGATCATGACTGGGCAGCTTAGCGCGGTCATAAGTAAGAACGTGATTTTTAAGTCACCTCGAAATTACAGTAGATATTTTTTATACAAACAAATCCAAATGTAGATAATGATATCTAAAATGGATATTTTTATAGAGTAAGTTTAACTGGAAAATCTGAATGTATGTTTCCATCATACAAAAGGATGTCAGAAATTTATAAAAATTTCGAGAGTAGAAGCTCAGACGGCAATTTTATTACTGTGAGAGGTGAACTGATAATGTGCAAAACACCACTCCACAAAATTTAAATTTTATGGCTACTGGGAAATCGATTTTGGAATAAATTAATAAAGAACAGATAATTGAATTGAATAATTGACGAGTAATGAATGTTTAAATATTTTTTTTGCGAAATGAAAAAAATGTATTTTATAAAATTGTTAACACAAGAAAAAACTGAAATTGTTCACCACACACTTGTCAATAAATTTGCATGTTTAAAAATTTTGGACTGTTCGTCATTTTTGAACTAGTGAAAATGTAAATATAGGTTATTTTTATTAAAGCTCCGACGTGGCAATTTTTCTCAAAAATACTGAGCCACACCACAAGAATTTAAAATGAAATGTAAATTTTTTTTATGTCAAGTGTTTATGTGAAAAATGAAAAATTTGTATTGTAGGTCTTGTTCTAGATGCACTTACATTAATTTACAGTTTAAATTGTCAATTGATTCTATAATTTTTGTCCAGGCAGTTTGAGCAGCTGCTGACCAGCATACTGTAAGTTGTAAGAAGATTTAGATGATTCATTAAATCCTTCACCGTTCGTAAAACCAATTCAGTTGCCTTAACAGTTCAAAGTAGACATGCATGTCGGACTTTAACCAGCTCTATGAATAATTTCCAAAGGTAATAGATATAGATTTACTGGAAATATAAAAAAAAATACTTTTCATAAATAGGAATAAATTTCAAACGAGCGGGAATTTACATCAAATCATAAATTTAAAATAAAGCTGGGTCATGACAAAAAATTGTCAGCTTAGCTTGAAAATACGCAGTAAGACCACAAAAAAGTTATTATAATTTTTCACTCAATGGCTGTAGGCTGAGTACAGTTCACGTTGTAAGTAAAGTGACGTTGTTGCTACGAAATGTATAAAATACGGTTTTGGATGCCGTCAAGTTAATGTAAACTGTACAGTGGAAAACATTTTGTCAGCAGCTTTGTAATATTGAATAAATGTCGAATTTTAAATTGCTGTCGTATCATTTTCCAGTTAACCTTTATTTTATCACTGGCCTTTGAAAGGTAACACTACACTAATTTCTAAATTGTAGAAAAATTACTAGAAAATATAACTAAACACATGTAATTATACAATTTAGTAACCTTCTACCTACATATGTGGAATGTTTTAGTATGGAGGCTTTTTTTTCTTAAAACGCTAAACAAAAAAGTAATCTACCTACAAATAATTGAGCTAAACGATTTCTTCTGACTATATCTCACAAGCGGGTAGTTCGATTGTAGCAGCTAAAGAAATAAAACATATCACTACTATTGTTCTACAAGTTTAGTGCTAATAAATGAAAAAAGCAGGCACGAACCTTTCCAAAAGCCGCCGTTTTAGGTCGGGTGGATAAGTTACGTATATGTATTCGTTATCTTTATCAGGCGCCAGATAATAGTCTTCAGTATAAATCTGATGACCATCTGCCGATGTCTGTTGTTCTTGTCTAAGAACATGCGCCGGAGACGGTGTCGACCTGTCCGTCATACTAGCACTAGCAACGCTGACGTCATCCGTACTAAAAAATTTATAAGAGAATCGATATTTAACAAAGTGAAACGTCTTACTCAAATAGCACCCAGATGATGTAATAACACATGCAAATCCCAAGAGATAGAACCATTATAATCATGCAAAGCAAACCCCAAGGGAAACTTCGAATATCAGCTTGCGTATCCTCCCAATATCTATCACAAGTCAAGTACCAACAAACACCCCTATTTAATTCATCTACAATAAATAAAAAATAGTCTTCTGGTGAAGACGATCAAGATCAACTTACCTTCGACTTCTTTGAAATCTTTCAGCGAGAGTTGAATCAGCAAACTTGCGATACAGTCCCGCACCAAAATCTCACACTTAGTTTTTATTTTTTGCAATTCCTCAGGTTTACAATTCGCCTTGAGTTTCTGGAGTTCAGCTATTCTCTGTTGGCGATTATCTGGAGCCGGCAGAGCAGAATCTACGAGATCGTTTTGGCAAACGTTATTCGAACTATTTTGAACTTTATCCTCTTCGCCAGCCGATTGACGCTCGTCTACAACACAATCATGTATAAAATTTAAAGAAGGCTTAAAAAAGTATCAGCACCGTTGGTGTTAGGCGCATCCGGAGCCTCATTTTTCTGGCAATGCTTTGAAGGTTTCGTTGAAGTTTTAGAAGGTTTTTGCAGATGCGGGTAAACTCCGTCTTTGAACGTGTATTTCGCGACTTCCCGTGGACCCGAAGTAGTCAAAGCCTTTGTGTAGGACGATGCTTCACGCCAAATTTCGATATCCGTGTTTACTGCATCCGGGTAAACAGTTTTAGGGTCTTGCGTTATCAGCACGTCACATCTCATAATGTCGCAGTAATCCGCAAGGCACACAGCGTCTTCGGCCTAAAAAATATTTTTTAAAATGCAAATATACTTGAATTGGTGAATACCATATTAATGTAGCCTTTATGGCGATTGTCGAAATGCATATCCAAATACTTTTCTTCAAAAAAGGACTTTCCACAAAGTCCACAAGTCCATTGTGACGGTCGATGCTGCTGTTTAGCGGCTTGCTGGGGTCCAAAAATGTCCCTCGTGGGATGAAATGGACACTCGATTGGTAAACTAACTTTATATTTTTCCAAAATAGGGATCCATTTGCTCTGAATTATTTTTCTGACTATTCTAGCATTATCTCTTGGACACGATATTTTGAAAACCGTGGGTCCCGGCCATGGAATCAAGGATAGCATGAAGAGAGTAATTATCTGCAATTGATTTTCATTACATTTTAAACATTCATAAAGAAAAGTATGATGCGCTCACAAATATTGATTTGCAAACATCCTTAGCGTTTCATATGAACTCTGTCGCATTAAAAAAAATTTAGACATAACGGAAGTGAGCTTACCTGCACGTTGAAATAATTGGACTTCATTCATATTCTTTGCTGATACTATGATTAAGAAGGATTTCACCTATATTCTGACACTGATAGAGCATCGTATGCTACGACGCCGAAGACGCTGGACGTCGCCGCAAGTTGCTAGGCGACATACGTCCGTATTACTTCAGTCTTCACCGGTGTGTTAACCACTCATTTTATTACGCATACATTAAAATTAAATTGAGCTTTGTTTAACGCAATTCACCATGTATTATTTCGCACCCCTTTAATAATTGTTTTCTTATTATTGATTTTTAAAACCCCGAGGCTTATGCAACCAAGATTACACACCGCCTTTTGACATTCTGACAATGAACAAAGTGAGGTTATAAAATTAGAGAAAAGCATATGATTATGATTAAAAATTATTAGAGGCATTTGCATATTTTTGGATTCGAGAAGAGAAACGAAATGGCTCTGGCCGTTCGAGGAAGTATTGAAGTACACAATGTTAATGTCACAATTTTTATGATAATTTTTAGTTTTACGTGAGAGGTTTTATCCAGTCGTACAGGCGAAGCGTTTCCGAGGGAAAATTAATATCCAACGACCGAAACCCCTTCATTTTGATCGAGCAGTATTTACAGAACTTACAAAACCGTGGTATTTGAATCCGAAAAGACTAAAAACGCCAATTGAATTGTGCTCGAAACCTACAGATAAAATTATTGAAGATGTTGATAACCCCTATCAAAGAATAATTGCTCGCGAGCTTAGAGAACGGTTTGATCAGTCAAGACTTATTGCTTTTTATCATCGCAATTCAATGAATTCAGATCAACAATATAAAGCATATGTTGCTTTTATAAAGGCAAAAATGCATATTAAAACTTATGGAAAAAAAACTTTAGAAATGGCGGTGAAAGACACGAAATTCGAACCAGTTTTAGATTTTTACGTTTCACAGAATGTAATGGTGTTTAGTCCAGAACCAGATATAAAGCAGTTGTTGAAAGTTACCAAAAAGTTTCCACAAATGGTTTTGCTGGGTAAGAGAAGCTATTTTTTAATTCTTTTGTAATTTTGTTTTTTAGCTGCTATATTCGAAGGCAAGTTTATAAGTAAAGATGAAGTAATGGAGCTACATTTAATTCCAAATTTACAAACAGCGCAAGCTGCACTAGTCCAGACATTAAATAGTGCAACAACTACGTTAACACAGCAGTTAAACTCACATCAAAACACATTAGTCTCAAATCTTCAGGAAAGAGTAAAACAATTAGAAGAGCACAAATAATTTAATAATATAGTTATAAAATTACTTCTTTTTCTTTTTGCCTTTTTCACCTTTACCTTTCTTGCCTTTTCCTTTCTTCTTGCCTATGAATTCATCAGGTTCAATGTTAAAGTTAGCTCTCAAGGTGAAATTAGGCAGACTCATAAATCGTATTATGGGCAAATTACGCAAATATAATTTACAAAAGTAGATCATAATGTTCTTGATTTCTTCAAGATTAAACAACTTTATGCGGGAGGGTGGAAACTGTAAACAAAATTATCATAACAAATATTATCAATGTATTTTTGTATTACAGGTGCTGAATGGCACAACTGCAAATTTTTAAAGTAGTCGTAGAGTTTTTCAGCTCCAACGTCCAGAGAACCTGTAAATAATAGGTGCGTCAAGTAGAACTGTGATAAGACGGCTCCAGTTTGTTCAATGCCGAAGTTACTTTTTTTGCAATATTTTAACACAGTGTGCATAAGTTCTCTAAGTATGATTCTGCAAAAGCCCTTTGGTTTCTTTTTCAGTTTCTTTTCTGCTTAGAAATCTAGTTATGGAAAATATTTGAAATCGAAACAGGTTTACCAATAAACTTCCTCATCTGACTGCTCTTCTCCAGTTGTAACAGCTTAGTAAGTTCAGGCCTTGGCAAGTAGTCCCAGGTGCAGATCCGTGGCTCTACGATTACCGGAAAATGTCTTTTATGAACCAAAAACTCTTTAGATGATTGCGCTTTTGCATCTGATAAATTGACTCCCTCTTCTTGACTCGCAAACCAGTAATTTTCGAATGCAATTTCATATTTACTGACATTTACAGCCAAAGTGTCAAATGCCCGTTCGTCCATTTTTTTGTGCAAATGTTTAAAAATTACCGCGTAAAATATTCACCAATTAAGACAATTTCAACTTTTACGCATGTGTGGATGACAAAATTTTGAATTCGTTCCTCGAATCGGTCTTATTCGTTGGTTGCTTCAGGTTGTGCAAGATGGCCGACTTTGGAGAGGATGTTGTTATGGAAAATGAAGATCTACTAATTCCAAAAAATCCTGCTGAGTAAGTACTAGAAACGCTGTATTGCACAATTTTGGTGTTTGAAATATTAATACTTGTAGGGTCTGTTATTCACTTTATTGTCATGCTGAATGTCATGTACTGTCAAAATAGTCAACCCGTCTTTCTGTATAATTTCTTATTGATTTGAATTATTCCGTTGGCCTACTTTGAGTTTCAAAGAGACGGAGTTTTCAATTAATGTCTGTAATCTTTTATTTGAACAGTTATTTTTAATTTAAAGGTCATATACCTTGATCACTTTAACTCCCCCGCAATGTTGTGTTTATATTTGGTCAGACAAGATATACTCGAATTTGTTTGATATCTGCTAATCAAGGATGATTTATCAATAAGATATTTAAATGATTGATCAATAACTATTTTAATATCTGTAATCAATGTCATTGTGACTTTGTGCATACATCAACACTTTTCCACTTTTGAATGTTTAAGAATATGGATTGGCAAAGTAGCTGTGATGTGTAAGTGTTCTTTGTCCACGTTGTAAATACGAAATTATCTCGGCGGAAATGCGTGAATATAGCTTTATTTTTTCATGATAATGCAAATTGCAAACCTTTGTGGTATAATTTTAGATTGTGGGAAACCTTGTTCACACTTTAAATTAGTGATATTTAACGACTGATAGTTTACATGATAACAGTTTTGGTATACAGATTCATATGATAAGAAATTGGCGCTAAAGTACTAATAGCTGCAAAATAGAATATTTATTTTAACAGTAATAGTGAACGTAATAATTTTGTGTTCGTTGTATACTAAAACAGTGTAACAGTAGGTAATTATAACATTTATACAAAATTATAACTTGGTAATAGTTTGTTTGCAGAGTAAAGCCGGTCTATACATAAAAATTATTGTGCTATATTTTTATGCCAGAGACTTAGCAGCTATAGGAAGTTCATTGAAAATAAACTGCTGAAATTTTAAATTGTTATAAAAATGTGTCACAAAAAACGACCAGTCTTAGCTACTTTTTTCTTCAACTTTTTCCATTTCGAATTACAACGTAAGTATAAATAATTTTTGAGATTTTTTTTCTTAAAGAATTTATTTTAAAACCAACAGTACTCAAGACATTTGCCCATTTGCGTTGGTGCTACATATGTTAGAAAGAAATAAACAACTAAAATCGGCATTCTTGAAAAGTTTTATAAAGTATAATTTTTGCCAAAATTAAAAAAACACCACTTGTTGATTTCAGTTGCTAACAAAAAAAACTCCAGTGGTGATTTTTATGTTATTATACCGTTGAGACTTCAACTAACGTCAAAGTTGTCATCACGAAACACGCAGGTACAAACAAATTAAAAGTCACTTATATTAACGTTCGTAGAATTTGAGTTTACCATCTCTCTTTAAAACGTTTTGAAACGTCAAAACTCTTTCAAAATCTGCAATTGAGTATAACCCATCTTTGTTTTCCCCCCATGTCAAACTTCAGATTTAATACTACGATCACGGTGGTAGAAGTAAGGTGTGGAAACCTCATTCATAACTTTCCTCAAAATCATTGGTAGAAAACACAAATCGCGTGGTTTGGATTATATGTCATTATCTGTCCACACCGCAGCGACGTCTAGAGAGATCAGTTGAAATTAAGTAATAGAAAACTGTATTAAATCTTTGACATTTATGCCAATGTCATTTATTACCCAATCACAAATGTCGAATCATCTACCAATCACACGATTCACACCAAAGACCAACCACAAACCGTAGTGCTGTGATTTATTTTCCCTCCAACGAATCTGTCACTTATTTCATTCATAAATACACGGACAAGTTGAAATGTTAATACATAGATGGACATACTGTGCTGCATACTATTTCGTAGTAAATAAGCCTACTGGGATGCGTGTTTTATTCAACAAATTGGAGCGGCTTGTTTCCACACCTTACTTCTACCACCGTGACTACGATGTTGTCAATTGCAGTGGCGGCTCCTCAGAGGAGGCAGGGGAGGCTGAGCCTCCTCTGTTTTTTGGAGCTGAGCTTCCTCTAATTTTTTCGATGAAAGAATTTGTATTTTTATAGACATTTGTTACTTTTCAGAATATTTTGTTTGATTTAATTTACTTTCATCATATATCAGGTTAAAATATCGAAAAAAATTATATTTGCGTCCTTACAATCATAATTCACACCACTCCGCGTTTGGCTCCAGCGGTAGAAGCTAGCCTCCGCCGAGAATGCATCTTACTATTGAGACCGCAACCTTGACGCATCATCATTCAGCACTGCATTGGCTAAAATGTTCATCGGGGTGCCGCTTCAGGCCGCTAGCCTCCGGCTAGTGCATCTCTTTTCAGATCAAGTCGCACGGATAATTTTATCTCTTTCTTATTAACTGGCGCGATCGGGTGTAAATTGGAAAAACATTGAGGTGGTTTCGCGTGCTCCCTATTCAGTGGTGAATGGTGTTTAGGCTTTAGTACCTACGTAAAGCCTAAGGTGTTTTTTATATAATTTATTTGCGTTTTATTTCTGATCGTTAAAAACAGCTGGTATTATCGGCATATTAATATTACTTATACTTAACGAGAATGAGCAATGAAAATAAGTCAGTCTCATGTGCAGTGTAAAGGCATGAAAAATCACAGGAACATAATATTTTCTTCTACTACTTTAGATTCCGCTCATAAGAAAGATATTGAGAACTATAACGAGAAAGTTGGTGAAAATAGGGCAATTTTGAAAAGACTAATCGATGCAATAGTTTATCTCTAGTGTTCTTTTCCTGAGCATGACAAAAAAAATTATTCAGATAATGAAGGATATAAAAAGTAGTGGTTTTCAAATTTGAGCCTCCTCTGAAGAAAACTTCACGAGCCGCCACTGGTCAATTGTATTTTCAAGGTAGAATGCAGTGTTGGGGTTTTATAATTTTGGAAAATACTATATGTAGTTATGCTGCCTTGCTTGGGTTTTTTGTAAGTACGATTGACAGCGACGAAATTTGACCTTTTATTAACAAGCGCATTAATTGATTAATTAATTAAGCTGGTTACTTTGAGTCATTGCGTTTTATAAAAAAAAAAATACAAAATTTCATTTTTGCGTTGGCGTTATGCTGAAGTTCGTTGACATTTAAACGAATTTGACTACGTTTTAACCTCGCTCAAGGTTTCCCCCATTTTTCCCGTAAATTCGAAAAAACACTACAATCAGCAATTTTTCAAAATTTGCACTAGGGGATGGACAGATAGAAATGGTCTAGTCGTTATGTATTTTATGCACTTCTCTTATCAGTGAAGATAACGTCATCAAAACTTCGGGCAGAATCTAGTGAAATTAGATTCAAAAGAAATTTTATGAATCAATTATGACTTGTACTGTTACTACCGTCACACTACATATAATACTACATATTTATAGTATAGTTGTCCCAATCTGACTCTGTTTTTATGGCACTGCAATCTCAATTATCGCAAGCATTAGGAACTCAATTGAAAATGTAAATATCCGTGCCATAAATCATCTTAGGGGTCTACGGGCGCGTGTTGTGCAGGACCGGCTGTATTTGCATTCAATGAAGGTACGGGTGGTAGACATAACAACATAGTGGGAGAAAGTACGGCCCTATGTAGTGTAGACAGTTGGTCTCTTGATAGTTTATGACCGCTGGATTGCTTGCGGCAGAGTCCTATTGTGGAAGATTTAACTCCATCATAAAAACGGACCAGCAATTGGAACACTGTAAATACAATTCCTACAGTACATCAGTACCTAGCAAAATTTTACAACCGCTACTTTGAGGGATTGTCGTACAACGCAGGGGGATAATGACACCAATAAAAGGAGCGCGCCGCCAGTGTATGGTGGGCTAGAAACATCCAGGGTTGCATTCAATTTGTGATTTATGGTTTTGTGGGTCCAACCTTCCTGGTTAACTTTCAAATACCAATAAAATTTTATTCGGTTCTGATGTAGTGTAGGAACTGTATATGTAGTGTGAAATTCTGTCAAAGTCACGGTAATTTTATCTGCCACTTTGACAGTATGGCACCAATATTAAGAAATTTTATTTAATTGGTTGTTTTAGGTTTAAGAGTAGGTGACTAGTGATACCTATACCATTCGATTTTGATATTTACGACAAGTATTTAAAGGTAATTTCATTACTACATATTAAGTATTGTTTTGTAAAAGTTCTTATTAGTGACGTATCTGTTAAAATTTATTAACCAGGTTAACCCATACCGAAATGTTTTAACACATAACCATTCCTAAAATTTCCGGATTCTGTTCATGTAGTATACCCTGTCTGTCGTAATTTTGAGCCCCCTGATTCAAATACTTAACGCTATGCCACCACTTTTGAGCACTGAAGAAAGTTGGGTTATATTACGTTTTAATAATACTTATTCATCACTAACAAATTTTGGGGTGACAGTTCCATCAATTTCAAACAAAATTTATTGAAAGCCCCTGAAACAGGAATTGATCACGCTGTAGTACTTTGACAATTTACTACAAACTTAAAATCACAGACTTAAAATAGTATACGTCCAATGTGGTGCAAATTAATGACCGTAATTTACTTCAGTGATACTGTTCAAATTTGTAACGTTTTTCATATAAAAAAAAAAAGATAATTTTTTGGTGTAATATATAAGTAAATCTAGACGTGGATATTCACTTATTAGGGCTGTTTTATCTGTCGCAAACAAAAATTAATAATGTGTTATTAAAACTAAACATGTAATGGTAATCAAATGACGTATTAGTTATTAATTAGTGTATATTAATTAAAATTTAAATCGAATTGTCACGGTTAATACCGCGTGTCTGGAAAATAGCGGATTAATTCTTCAGTACGTTATATACGGGAGTTTCTGGAGTCCCAAAAAAATAATAAAAAAAATTCTGTATGATGTAGATTACGAAAAAAACGTAATTTTATAAAAGTAAAATTGGCAACACAGCACACACACGTAAGCGTGAATACCTCCGGCTTAATTTCTGGTTTCTTAGTAACGATGGTGACTGAAATCCACCTTCGCTTTATATCAGGTAAACATTGTTAAATGGAATTTTATCAAATTATTACAAAAACAACACAGCCATATCTTTGTGTATTCTAACTGAAGTGATAATTAAACATGGTCATGGACGAGAAAAATATTAACTAAAAGTTTTATTATTAGTTATTGTGATAATGAATGAGTTGTTTAGTTGTCAAACGTAGCAAAAGAACTATAATTTTAAAATCATTATAACTCCACCAAAATGTGAGAAGATTTTTTTTTACTATTTTTCCCAGACTCGCCAGTTGATTGTTAAGAACGTAGCGGAGAGTTAATCCGACTTTTTCCAGACACCCGGTATAATTAATTCATATTTAAAGATGATTTTTTATAAATTGAGAGCTGATTATTATTAACAAGTAAATAAATTTAACCATAATTAAATAGAATGAAGTGGAATGAATTTAATTATACTTGGCTGTAAAAGTGGAAAGTTATTTAATTAGTTAGTAATTACGTATAAAAAAATGATTACGTAATGTAATTAATTCGTAATTAATTAATTGTGTTTAACAGTCAAAGCCAATTGATCAAAATAAATGTTTATTAATTACTTTAACTCATAACCAGCTTTGATAGTTTTTGTTAGTGTGTAAAGTAATTTCCAACTATTTTAATTTTTATTTTGGCGGTAAGGGGTGAAATTGTCATGTTAACACACTGTGATATGATACGATATTATAATTTTACATATATGTATACATATATATTTAAGTAATGGTGGGTGCACTAAAATTTAAAACTAATTTAATGTAACTTAACTTAAAAGCAGTACAAAACCTACTTTCATGTACCTCTTAAAAGTGTCAATTGTCAAAGACAGATTGTACCCGGAGAGTATTTAGTTACTTACTTCACTGATTCCTTCATCAGTTATCAGTTATCACTTATCGCTCATTGAGACATACATCCTTTCCTCAATGGAGAGCACATTAACTTAACCAAAGATATTATTTGACCGTTGCCGAACTTGTTATGACGGACATGCGCAGAACAATTTGTATTTAACTTAACCTTACACTAAACACTGAACACTCCCATATACTTTTAGGAATTGAACTTTTTCTTAAGTTACGTAGAATTAAATTAAATCTTAAATTTTCGTGCATGAACCTACCGTAAGTGATTAACAGTTATGTGAAGGGGTGTAACATTATTCCAGAATCACGCATTTCAAGCAGCTGTAGGATAAAAGTGTGCTCAAAGGCGGATTTGCTTCAAAATATCTTATTGTATAACTGTGTCCTTTATCTTGGTAAAATAAAAAAAAACTTTACACGTCTTGATGATGGTTACTGTTTTAGTGAAACCCGTCTTAAAGTAAAAAACAGATTATATTAAACTTTCTGAAGCGTCTTTTAACAACAATGTGGTACTATTTCACATGAAAAAAAACCTTTGACGATATTATATTTGTATAATATAAAGTTCAACAGATTATACTATACTACATCTTTTTTCTTATTTACTACGCCCTTAGTCTGTAAATAAAACGTCCCCTTTTGGCGAAAATTTTAATACATGGGACTGATTGATGGACAAAGTGATATTATGTTCTCACTACTATTCAAATTTGCTTAATCACAGAGAAATTGTGAACTGAAATAATCTTCCAGATTTTTAGGACCAAGTTTTCCTTAAAATTAAATTGAATTTATTAATTATGAAAATATCGTTACTCCTTTATGATTTGTCATAGTACATTTTGCGTTATGTGTCATGTACGTGACGCATATGAAGTGGTCCCGTGAATTTAATAAGTCGCGTAAAAAGTATGTTTGACAACATACAACTCTCATTTATTTTACACTCAAAATTTCGTGGCACACGTGCGCTACGCGCACACCAACTTTTTTTTTAATCAACCTTGACATTTTCCTTTCAAACACTCAGCTATTCGATATGTAGATTTTTGTGGACCTAGAATTTTGTTACAGGTTGGCCGAACTAAAGAAGGAAAATGGCAACCAACTCTACAAAGTCAAACAATACCGATCTGCCCTTAATCTTTACACAGAAGCCATCGAGTTATGTCCGGACACAGCCGCATATTATTCCAACCGCTCAGCCTGCTACATGATGCTAAACAACTTTCAAGATGCTCTAGAAGACGCCCGCAAATGCATCCAGATTGATCCGTCTTTCAGCAAAGGGTATGTACGTATACTAAAATGTGCAATCGCACTTGGAGATTTAACAACCTCTGATAACGCTATTAAACAAATCGGCCAACTCGATAAAAACGCAAGTATCAATAACGAAATCCAATCTGTGGAGAAGATGAGACAGTTTGAAACAGAAGCCGCCAAAGCAATTGACAAAAAAGATTTTCGCAAGGTAGTGTATTGTATGGACAGGTGCCTAGATGAAGCTCCCACTTGCACGCGTTACAAAATAACAAAAGCAGAATATCTGGCATTTCTAGGACGGTATCAAGAATCGCAGGAAATTGCAAATAACGCTTTACACCTTGATAAAACTAACGCAGATGCTATATATGTTCGTGGGATGTGTCTTTACTACGAAGATAATCTTGACAGTGCTTTCAATCACTTCCAGCAAGTTTTACGACTTGCACCAGATCACAGGAAAGCCATGGATGCATACAAAAAGGCTAAAGAATTAAAAAAGACAAAAGAGAGTGGAAACGAAGCATACAAGAATTGTCGTTTCCAAGAAGCCTTTGCTTTATACACTGAAGCTTTGGCTATCGACCCTCTTAATAAAAAGGCTAATGCAAAACTATACTTCAATCGTGCCACAGTACAGCACAGACTTGCCAAAACAAAGGAGGCTGTAGATGACTGCTCAGCAGCTTTAGATCTCGATGACACATACCTCAAAGCTCTTTTAAGGAGAGCAAGTTGTTATATGGATTTAAGCGAGTACGAAGAGGCGGTTAGAGATTACGAAAAAGTTTGTAAACTTAACAAAAGTCGGGAACATCGAAAACTTTTGCAAGACGCAAAGTTTGCACTAAAGAAATCTAAACGCAAAGACTACTATAAAATCTTGGGTGTAGAGAAAAACGCATCAGACGGTGAAATAAAAAAGGCTTACAGAAAGAAAGCATTGATGCTACATCCAGACAGACATGCTAATGCGACTGACGCAGTTAAGAAAGACCAGGAGAAGAAGTTCAAGGAACTGGGGGAGGCTTACGGTATTTTATCAGATCCCAAGAAAAAAGCAAGGTACGACAGTGGACAAGACATGGAGGACTTTGATGGTGGAATGTCAGGTAGTGTCATTTTCTTTTGTTTTTCAGCTGTATTCCAGAATTTTTATTTTTAGATATCGATCCCACTCAAGTGTTCCAAACATTCTTTAGCCAAGCGCACAATTGTAACGATTTCAATTTGGGTGGAGCATTTCCGGGAGGATTTTCTTTTCAGTTCAGTTAGACAAAGGATTTACCACCATCTAAGTCATATTTTGAAGCCTTTCCACATTCCATGTTTTCCCCAACTGTTCCCTTCACTAGTATTTATTAAAATGTGCTAGAGATTAGCATCCCTAACATGATCAAATCCTAAGTTTTAACCTTTTAATTTGCTGCCCTTATGTATCGAAGCCTACGTTCTCCTACATATTTTAAAGAAGACTTTCTTGTTTCATAATTGTTGTAAATCGTTTACATTGTAAATTTAATATATGTATTATACATTTTTGTTGTATTTATAATTTAAATTAATTTATGAGTTTACAAACAAATGCGCAGTCATTGGTGTCGTCGACTAGTGGATCCTGTTTAGATGGTGATTCTGGCTCTTTAACACCTTTCTTCTGTGTCTTCTGCGGAGTACCAGTGGTACTCTTTTGTTTGGATGTTACTCCTGCACATGCCGGCTTATAACGTTGTACTTGGATTACTGGTGCAATAGTTTTCTTGTATCTTTCGCATATTTTTGTTTTTTCTTCTACCGTTCTTCTAGTATCAATTTTGGAAATCGCATTCTGAAAACTATAACAAATCAGTTAAACTTAATTTGCGTTTTAGGTGCAGACAAAACCGTTTCAGTTGAATTTTCGGCAATTCTCTACATTTTGACCTGGTGTTTGCCATATTCCATTGAACATAGCCACGTTGTAACTTTCCATCGCTCTTAGTTTTCTCCTGCTTGGAGTAATTCTCTTTTTGATAGAGCACTCTTTCTCTGAACCAAAGCCGCATATATTCATTTGAGAGCAGGAAGCGAATATGCGGACGCTTTTCCTGATGGAAGAAATGAAACTGTTAATAATTCTAAGCTTTAAGTTTGAATCCAATATAAATGCAATGTGGACATTTCGTTTTGCAATATATGTATCCCTGAAAAGAAGTTTTAACTGAATACCAACACAGGTGTGTAACAGAAATGATTATGTCACAGCGAAAATTATTATGTAATTTTAGAATGTGGGGTGTCATTGTTCACAAATTTTTTACAACAAATACATACTGTTTCATATTCTGGTTTAAATCCATACAAAGCGTTTACTTCCCGAGCCTTTGATGAAATGATATGATCTGTCGGGTATATGGGGGTGGCTCTTTTCCACTTTAATGAACTTTTCATTGAGAAATTTTTTTTATGTTTTTGACAAACAATAAATTACAAAAAATGACAATGCGACTTGTTTATTTCTCTGAGGACTAGATGTATTTATAAATTAAGTATTTTATTTCAAACTGTTGTTAATAAAATAAAAACACATGATCTTACTGGTGGAAATGATTAGGTACGTTGATACTTTATCAGTAGTACATAATGTCTTGAGTTTGAGCTACAGTAGCTATGAAAATACACATGGCACATTAATTTTTCTTTATACCCGCATTTTTTGCAATTCGTGCTTTTACGGTGTCGAAGTTGGCTTTAGATATGCATTTGGATTCCATTTTTCTAAGTCTGTTCTTCCATATTGTTACGAAATAAACCCATACGCCGCTCCGGTACGACGCCTATGGGTTGTCTAGCATGTACGGTGATGAGCGGTAGTGACTCATCATCACCGACGGCGGCGATCGACTAAAGAAAAGCGTGGAAATGGAAATCGCGATGGGGACTCCAGAACTACTTCTATCGCGAAATATCTAGAAAGGAACGGCGGCTGTTTAAATAAGGATCACCGCCGGGAACGGATAGTTAAGTCCAGTAAATGAGAGAATTTGAGTCTAGTTAAATATATTCTAGTCCAGTCGGAATTATTCTGTACATAATCTGTGTAGGTATGTCGTATAGTTTTGTATTACTATGAAGTAAATTGTTGAGGTTTAGCCACGCCGATTTTAATTACCGATCAACGTAACAATATTATTATAAGCCGGAAATAGTGACTAGCGTTTATTACCTACTTGGTCGAACGCAAAATGACTTTAGATAGTTCTGCCTATATCTATACTATGGTTTAAATAAGAAAAACACAAATCGAAATTCAAATCTGAAGCTAACTTTAGTAACAGGTGACAAGCTTAATTACAGTCACGGCGTGGAAGTAGAAAATTCTACCTTCATGAGTTAAGGTCAGTACCTTCTCACTTGCGCCGATATTAACAAAATCTGTGTATACCAAGTACGATAGAGCCCCAACTAAAACTTGTTACTCTAAATTAAGTACAGTGCGTTTTGATGCACCTATCAGTAAGTGTTAGCCGAGTTCTGATATTTCAGACCATTGTTTTTTGTGCACAGATGTGTACTAATTATTTTAAAAATTATAGACAACACACTGAACATTTGACCTCCTTAGGTCTCATCAGTACAGCATATTTCGCTGGACAGTATTTATCCTTATAAGTTACAATTAAATATGTATTTAATCAATGTTTAAGGCAAGCAAACAAACATTAGTGAGATTAACAATTTCGTAAGAAACAGTATTGAATAATGCAAAACACGCATTCGTGCATTGTTTTTACCGTTCCTTTACAATTTATTTTTGTTATAATACAATCTATGGTATTGTAAATACATAATATTTATTATTTTTGGAAGTACAGTGTTACATGTATAATGACCGAAAAAGTACCCAGTCTTTATTTCAGTGACAGTATTCGTTGAAAGAAACCACTATTTCCGATTTAGTAGGTAGCATGTGACTCTCATAAACAATGTATTTTATACAGGGTGACTGCGAAATAAGTGCAAATATTTTAACCACGGCATCCCCCACCCTAGTAGAGCCGAAATATAGAAAAAACAAATTAAAAATCGAATGGGGCAAAACCCCCATGAACCACCCTCGATACGAAGGCACTGAGCCACCTTGTAAACAGAGTTGGAAAAACGTTCGAATAAAAACGACCTAAACACTTTCAGTTTCAATTAAAAGTAAAACCGACTTTTTGCTGCTTATCATTCGTTCATTCATTTACTCATTCATCATCGTTAAAGGTCAATGTGAAAGTTTTTTGGTAATTTTGATTCTGATGGATGTTTGGTCCTTGTCACAACGATTTTAGATTGTTTATTGGAACAGAAATAAGAGCAACTTAGAATGCTACTACCTTTTTACAAGAAATTTTGAAAATGTTGTCCTTGACTAGCAATACAGGCGTCAGAGCGTTGCAAGAGGTGTGTTGATAGGTAAAAACCACTTTCACTCGTTGAAGCTCTTCGATAATTTCTGGACACTGTTGATTTCCACAAACGAACTGTTTCATCCAACCGATACACATTTCTCGAAAACCGTCTCTTGCAATCGTATTTGTGGACGAGCATGTGGAGTTTGATCGGACAAAAAGTGAGTTACACAACGTGGACAATCAGCGGGCTCCAAACCCTTTACTTTGTCAACATGGTATGGATGTGGCCGTATTCTTTTAATGTAGGATGCACTACAAGCTGTGAAAATCCAACTTCTTCTTTCTGTCCTATCACGGCCACGATCGTGAGTTTGAAGTTGAAGGTACCATGATCTCGGAGTTTTTCTATCACTCATGCAAATGTTCGCCCACACCAATTACCATATCGACACAATCTGCATGGGAAAACTCCACCATAAACCGATTTCACCGACCGCTCGATGCTAACTGGCCCTTCTCGTGTTTTTCACGTTGGGATTAAAAAAGTGCCTGATAAAGTAACTTTTTTGGTTTTTAATCCGACTCGCTCTATTCCATTCATTGTAGTAATTATGTAGGTCACAAAACAGTCCAGCGGCGCGTACAACAATTTACATTTAATTTCAAATAATTTTTTCTAGACACTGCTACTACTTAGGACCGTGAATTTTACCCAGTGACATAATCATATTGTGAGCTATTCCCCATTTTTTTTTGCATGTATTTCGCAATCACCTTGTATAACTTTTCGTGACGGTAGTACCAAATTGTGGAAATATCCCGAATTATTCTTAAAGAAATTGATACATGAATTCTAAACAGGTTTTTTGTGGGGACTTTTTGCTTATCCGGCATACATAAGTGTAAAGTGTTAAAGTTTGATTTGTATTTACTAAAATTCGGAATAAAATAACTGTGAATACATTACCTAAATATAAGGAAATTGGATACATCAAGCTTAATTTTATCAAATACATAAAATTAAATTACAGTAATTGCTGAAAATGTTGCCCATCTTGTTGTTATAAACTCATAAATGAACTCTTGGTTTAACTCAATCGATCTCATGCCTCAATGTCTCGGAAGTATTGTTTAAGTAGTTAATTTCTTTTGTTTTGCTCAAACTTAATTTCTCCAAATTTTTGACAGATGTTGGATAATTTCTGTTCTTTAATTAAATAGGACCAGGACTAAGATCACGAGATCTCGAGGGCTAGATATTCTTCTATATTTCGATTAATCCTGGTCCTAGTCGAATGCGCTGTACATGCGTCTTGTTGAAAATAACTTATTTCCATTTTCTCGTCATGAAGTTGTGGTATACCTAAAATCTGCTAAAATTTTTGCGGATCTCTACTAGCGATTAGGTTAGCTTGAAGAGGATTACATTAATCACATAATTATTATTACCATGATTACCTTAAAATTTATATAGGCCTTCACTAATTGCAGCCCAAACATCAATTTTTTGAAGATGAAGAGAAAAGTCCCAACATACTGTGATAACCCAAACTTCCCGCCTTAAATTGAGACTTCAAAAAGTTTGCAAGGCTCGCGAACAATTCAAAAATTCAAAATTTGGTCTTGGCTGTGATCGTCTAACAAAGTGGGACCTACGTTGTTTTTTTTTTTGAAAAATGGCGATAGACGTTCTTTCATACAAGTGAGCATACACTGCGTGCGAGTAGAGACCGCAAGAAATAATAGACAACATTTTTGGGAGGGGGCTAAAAATTGCACCTCTCTCTAGGAGGAAAAGAAGCTGGGAGCGAGGGCGACTCGTGACATGCCATCAGGCTGCCCAAGGGGGGGGGGGGGGGAGATCGCATTCACTTCTCAGCCTCAAAAACCCCCTATGGTTTATTCACCCATATATAATATGTGCATCGCAAATGAAACACATAAAAATATGACAGAAAGAGACAACCGCGAGTTGACAAGACACACATATGGGAAAGCGAACAAGTGTAAAAACCCTACGTATATGTTTTTGAATCAATGCAAATATCTGAATATCACAAATTTAATAGAAATAAAGGAAAATCTGAATTAAAGTAACTGGATGCAAATACACAAGTTATTACAGGCGTGTGGCGGCAAATTTAAAATTACTACCGCAAAACATCTCTCTATCTTGGGTCTCGACTATTGGACCAAGTCGACAGCGTTACAACATCGCGACCGCCCCTGAATTTTATACAAACCTGCATCTTTTGTGCAGGTGACGCGATAAATCTCGCCAGCCCGACTAGGAACCGCGCTCTTCGCGTCTGCCACGTATTTCGGTGTTATTTATCTCAATTCCATTTTAAATGTTCAATTTCTTATAACACTGATATTAACGACAACTGAACAAGTGTTAAAGTCTCAAAGGGCAATAAACAACATTTAAATTCGCCATGCAGTCTTGTGAAATTTTAAACAAATAATTCTTAAGTGAGATTAAAATTGGACATCAGATAATTTATACGATGGAAACATTCATCAACAAAATATTTACAAAACAAAACTAGCAAAGATTTATAAAAACAAAAGATCTGGTGTGAAATAAACTTGCGCAAATAAAAATATTATGTGAGGTTAAAACTGAGGATAATCAAATTTACGTTCAATTAAAATTATACAACAAAGGAAAATTACTCAGGTGAAAATTGTGAGATAGAGAAATATTGTATGAGGCGAAAAATTGCAAAGCTAACAAAATTTACATGAGATAAATACTTGCCATACTTTATCAACCATTCAAACAGAGAATTTATATGACGTTGAATTATGTCTTGATCCAAGTGATTGGTTACTAAAAACAATTAGCTTTGAGGGTTTATAATACCGTGAACTGGTTATCCCAACAAAACATATAATAAATAAACACAAAAATATCCAGTCATCGTTGCGAGGAAAAAGCGCCTCGGTGATGTACCTTTTAGCGTTGCGAGGAAATGCCTCGATGATGTAAATTTTAACGTTGCGAGGAAATGCCTCGGTGATGTAATCAATCTTTAACGTTGCGAGAACATGCCTCCGTGATGTAATCAGTCTT